ATAAAGGACACTTGCATAGACACAAGTGGGCAGAAAGAGCTGCCCCAAAAGGGACAGGTTTGCTGAGAGACCTGCATGGTCGCAGGCAGGTGGCCTCGAGGAGAGCGGCCTCCGCTGAGAGAGGTCACTAAGGAGAAGCCCCGCAGGTACAGGTCATGGATGGGCAGAAGGCTGCTGCCTGCAGAGGTGGAAGTTGTTAAAAAGGAGCACCTGCATGGGGGTGAGGGGGGGGCAGAAAAACTGTGGGGGTGGGCAGAAGGACTGTAGGGGCAGGGCGGGAGTGGGGGTGGTGCCCAGTCAGTGCAGAGATTGACCTGATGTAGTCTTCTTGTCTTTGGGAGGGGCTCACTCCTTCAGGGAGTGGTTTGTTAACTTTGAATAAACTGTAGAATTTAAAAGGGCCAGGTTTCTACAAGGGCCCTCAATTTCCATATCTTTACCTTCAGGGCTGTGATCCTGACACCCCCTACAGCTTCTGTTACCTGCTGGGGTCTTGTGCTTTTTGTGATCTAGGCATAGGAGACTTTAATGGAAGGAACTTTAATACAATTAGTAAACAACACAGGAAAGGCAAAGAATAATAGTTTCTAAATCAAGATCAAAGTTACCCGTCCCCTCATGGGTAAAAGTCCACCCAGCAGGACTGGCCCAGAACAAGGCCCCAAAGCCTGTCACAAATCTAATGTATCTTTCAGTGGGGACCCACAGAAAAGGATCAGAAACAACCAGGCAAGTCTGGAAGGAAAGAGCAAAAATCAAAATCAAGACAAAAACTGCCATTGTCACACCCACCCCCCCACAGGTCTCTCACGCACATCTGTGTCACACAGTCTGTTGTAGAGCAGCCCCGATACAAAACGGGTGCCTGACTGTGGTCCTCACCCGCGCGCTTAAAAAGGACTTATCAATGCTCTACTGCAGGCACACGTGAAAGGTTAATAAAAGGTTTATTTACAAGGGAAGGGAAATGAGGAAATGTACAGCTCTGGGAGAAAAAGTGGAGACAAAGTTTTAAATGATCCTACCCGATCCGCCGATCAGGAATCCCAAAATGGCGCTCTGAGAGCTGGCGCGCAGCCAGGAGCGGTGAGCCAGGAGGCGAGCGATCGCGAGCCAGAGAGAGAGCAAGGCCCACGTGTTTGGATTTTATATCCAACCTGGCTGCCCAACTCCACCCTCAGGTCCCAGCCACCCTCCCCTTGGTGGTGATGGGATTTGTCTTTCCCAATGTCCTGATGGCTTTAGTCTGGAGTGGGGGTGGAGTCCACAAAGCCTGTATGAGATTATCTCAGGACATCCTTTCCCCCTAACAAGTCCACGACCAAAAGGCAAGTGTAGTTTCTTCACGTGTCTCTCGGCTCCATGTGCCTCCTCCAGGTCTCCTTCTGGCTCCCCATCCTGCTTTCTTCCTTCTGTCTCCTCTGCAGCAACTTCTCTCCCTGCTCAGCAGCGCCCTCCTTTTGGGTGGGGCAGGAAACCTAGAACCTCCCCCTTTCCTGGGGACCACCCTGTTACACAGGGACTTGAAGGGGGGCTTCTCTGCACAGGGTGACAGTGGCAGCATCCACAGTAATGGCCATTGTCAGGTGAGTGGCTAGACAGAATGTGGCCTGGCCATACAGCAGGATATTACTCATCTTTAAGAAGTTAAATTCTCGGCTTCCCTGGTGGTGATAGGGGTTAAAGTCTCAGCATTATCAAGGTATTGCGGCCACTGCAGTACAGAGTTTGATCCCCAGCCAGAGAGCTGACCCCCATGGCACAGCAGACCTCTCCTGTCTCCCCACTGCTCCCCTCAGCAGTATATTTTAGTCAATCCGCCTGTTCTGCTCCCCACTTTCTCTGGTGAATCCTCCCCCCACACCTCTGGCCTGTACCCCAGTTCTTGTATGCATAAAAGTAGTTAAAAATAGTTTAAAAGTAGTTTAACTACTTTAAAAAGTAGTTAAAAATGTTTGAGCACATACAAGCCTCAAATTGAGTTAGTTAAAAGAAAACCCGAGTTGCAGAGTAGGAGGTAAGGTCTAGTTCTAGACTGTGGACAATATTTTGCATATAGAACTCTGGAGTAATGTACACCAAACTGTGTACATGTTCTGGTGAACGGGCGAAAGGGTTGGGGGTAATATTGATGTTTCATAGTTATGAGACACAGGGCAAGCTAGGAATTAGGCAGTTTTAGGGACACTGCAGGAGGGGACCTCAGAGAATTGAGGAAGGCTTCAGAGATAAGGGCAGCAAGAGGAGTGTAACCAATTCCACTAGGAAAAACAAACATCCCAGGGCCAAGGACAACATTGTTAACGCTGGTCCTGGTTTCCTTCAGGTGGTAAAGGGAGGCAGAGACTGGAGAAATGGAGAGTGGTTTAATTTATGGACAACTTAGAAGAGCAGCTGTTTCACTTCAATGCAGGGATGCCCATCCGAGGACTGGGCCATAAAGATAAAGATGCAACAAATGGGGAAAGAGAAAGCTGTTAGATAAGGAATGTGAAGATCCCCCACTCAGTAGCAAATTAAGTGAGACAGCCGAGAACTAATCAATCACAAATCAATCACAGAGAGACAGGTGGAGCTGTAGAATAATGACGGAAAGAAGGTCTATATTCCCTGAGACAGGACGCCACTTTGGCTTCCTTGCCCCTCCCTGGCCTGGTTTCCTGGCCTGGGAGTCCCACTTTATTTCTACTCTTTTTCTTCTCAATAAACTTTTTCTTTCTATAAACAAACCTGCCTCTTCTCGCTTGCTGGCCTGAGCGTCGGCGAAGTTCCTGCTGCAGCTTCGTGAGACACCAACCCGTGGGGGTCTAGTGGCTGGGGCTCAGCGCTGCCCTGCAGCCTGGGATCCGTTCCTGGCTGGGAGACCAGGCCTGACAATTCCGGTATCAGTTAGGTGTATTTGAAACATTTTTTTTTTTTTTTTGTGACCCTAAGCTCCTTGGTCCTCTTTTTTTTTTTTTTTTTTTTTAAATATTAAATTTTATTTTTATATTCCCCCATACAATTGCAAACGCCCCATTCTGACCCCAATCCTTCCCCTCCCGCCCCCCACCCCCCAAAAAGTGTCTCTGGTTCATAGTTTTTTGTTGATTTTGATTTTCACTTTCTTATATTCATTTTCCTGGTCCCTTATTTAAGTTTTCTAGATTCCTGCTATGAGTGAGACCATCCGGTATTTTTCTTTTTCTTTTTGGCTTATTTCGCTGAGCATGATCCCTTCCAGCACCATCCATGTTGCTGCAAATTGCATGTGTTTATCTTTTTTGAATGCTGAGTAATATTCCATGTACATATGTACCACATCTTCTTGATCCAGTCATCTGTATTTGAAACATTTTTTAAGATGTATTTATTTATGCATACAAGACTGGGGTACAGGCCAGAGGTACGCGGTGAGAGGATCCACCAGAGACAGAGCCGGGAGCAGAACAGGCACATTGACTGAAACCCACTGCTGAGGGGAGCCGCGGGGAGACAGCAGAGGTCTGCTGCGCCGCGTGGGTCGCTCCCTGGCCGGGGATCGAACTCCTGCTGCAGAGGCTGCAGACAGCTTCATAGTGCTGAGACTCAACCCCTTGCGCCACCAGGGAGGCCCAGTATTTGAAATTTTATAAACAAAAGCACGACGTTTGACATGGTAAAAAGGCGAGGGCTAGTTGGAAAAAGCGCCACGGCCTCCGCGGTGTCCGGTCGGGACGTCCACGGCCCAGAGGGCTCGGGCAGGGTGGAGGGTGCATTTGAGGGCGCCCAGCACGCAGCCGCGGGGGGCTCGGGCAGGCTTTCCCAGCGCAGCCTTCGGGCCCCCGCCCGCCGCCGCGACCCCGCGACCCCCCCGCGCCCGGCCCAGCCCAGCCCGCGGACCCGGGCGGAAGCGCGTGGGCGGGGCCCGCGGGCCACGCCCCGGAAGTGGGCGGGCCGCCCCTCCCAGTCGGGCTGCGGCTGAGGCCGGGCCTGGCTTTGTAGCGCTCAAGATGGCGGAGCAGCCACCCGGCGGGATCCGCCTCAGCGCGGTGAGCAGCCGCGAGGGGTGGGGCGGGCCGTGTCCCAGGAGGCGGCGGGCGGGCGGGCGAGGGGGGCCGCAGTGGGCGGTGGCGACTCGCAGGCCCGGCGCGGGCCGGGGCCGGGCCGCGGCCGCGGCGGGGCCGGGGGTGGCCGCCTCCGCGGGCGGGCGGCGGGCCGGGCCGGGCGGGCCGGGCGGGGCGGCGCTGCCCCCGCGTTGAGTTTCGGTTTTGCCTCCGCGGCCTCGGGGCGTGCCGGGCCGCGCCCCTCCTCCTGGCCGCCGCGCAGCTGTCGGGCCGGGCGGAGGCCTCGGCGGCGGCGGCCGCGCGCCCCTCGCCCCGCGGGGCCCTGACCTCGCCGGCGCGCGGGCCGGGCGGGCGCCCCGGGGTGTCCCGGGCGCGGCGGGGCCGACGAGCCGGGCTTCGGGACCGGCCCCCGCGCTCCCCCATCCCGGCCGCCGCCTCCCCTGGACCCGAGACCCCCGGGCCCGGGCTGCTGGTCCCGGCCCTGCGCGCCCCCGGGCCCGGCGCCGCGGGCTTGTCCAGAACCCCGCGGCTGGGGCCGTCGTCTCGGGGCTTGGCCCCCGGCGGGCCGAGCCCCCGACCCGAATTAAAACCTCGCGTCCTGCCGCGTGGGCGTGGCCGCCCGCCCAGGGTGTCCCCGGAGAAGTTGGTGGCGGCACCTGCCCCCGGGCCTGCCGGGGTTCGCGGGCCAGTGAGCCCTCCTCCTCGACGACGGTGCCTGCCCGTGGGGTCTGCCGTGCGTTTCAGCCCGAGTCTTGTCCATTTCCCCTCCCTGGTGGGTGTGAAGTGATACCTGACCTGACGCTGCGTGTTCTTAGCTGTCAAGTTGGGCATCTTTCACATATTTGACTCTTGGATTTAGGGTTTGTGAAAAATCACTTACCTGTATCCTTTGCCCTTTTGGCTTTTTTTGGGGGGGGGGCGGCTATTGATTTGCAAGAGTTCTTTACATATTTGAGTGAAAGTCCTTTGGTTACGTAACTCATTGAGTGAGTGAAACAGGCTTTAGTAGTTGGAGCAGAGCGAGCTAGGTTTTCCACACTGGCTGTGAACATTTGTTGTTCTCCGCACCTGGTTGGATCAGGGCTTTCCCAGTAGCCGTAGCTGTTGAAAAGTCTGACCGTATCTTGTTTAAAATCTAACGCCCCGTCCTGCCCCTCCTGTCCCAGATAGTGCCCAGTTCTGGCCCAGAGGTCTGGCGTGGGGAATGGAGTAAAGTGATTTCGCTCTTTCTGCTCTTGGATCCCGGGGCCCCTCCCGTGTTGCCTTTCCTGAGCTTTAAAGATTAGCTTCTGAAAGGGAGCAAAGATGAGGGTCAAAACTGTCCTCAGCTGGCTCTCCGTGTGTAGCAGCTGTCCTTGTGCTAAATCTTTCTTTTGTGGATAATGCGTGGTGTTTGGAAGCGCATTGACAGAAATCTCCCGTCTGCAACTTCTGGACTGTATCTCCATCAGTTTCAATGCTTTAGGACAGCAGTTGGCAAACTACAGCTGATGGGCCAAATCCAGCCTGCCACCTGTTTTTGTATGGCCCACGAGCTAAAAATGATTCATAAATGGTTGGAAAGGATCAAAAATAATATTTTGTAATGTGAAAATTATGTGAAATAGACATTTCCATTTCCATAAATTAAATGTCATTGGTCTACAGCCATGCTCATTCTTTTGTGTATAGCTTGCAAATGCTTGCATTAGGAGAGGGTCTAGGAATTAATGCATTATTGTGTTTGTCCAAAATCATAAGCTTTTCACAAAGCTAAGGCATAACCTTAATGCATGCAAATTTAAGTTATTTAGGAGATTGGGATTCTGGAATAGAATGAGGAGTGATGAAAACTTTTTTTGTATTTTACTTTTTACTTTCATTTTGTTGTTTTCCGGGGGTGGGAAGGAGTTGATTGACTATGTGATTTGTTATTACTTTTAGCATTATTCATAAATAAGCCAACCAGAACTATATTGTGATTTCTTTGCTGTACAGCTTTTTGTTTTCCCTAAAGTTAATAATTGATTTGTGTTTTGTTTGCTTGGTTTTTCTCTGTACTGATCTCTATTTCATCAAAACTTTCAGAGAACTGGAAAAACTTTTCCAGATGTGTTAAAGCTCACCCAGTATTTTGTCAGTTTCGTTGGCTTGGTAAAGAGACTTTATCTTTTTTTTTTTTTAAATCTAGCCAATCACACAAATTCCTTCCAATTTAATTTTTTTTTTTAAAGATTTATTTATACAAGCACTGGGTACAGTCAGAAGCGCGGGAGGGTGAGAGAATTCACCAGAGCCAGAGCGGGGAGCAGAGCAGGCAGAAGGACCGAAGGACACTGCTGAGGGGAGCAGCGGGCGGCAGGAGAGGTCTGCGCGCCATGTGGGACCCTCCTCCGGTGGCCGGGGAGCAGCTGGGGATTGAACCGGCGCTGCAGAGACTGCGGGCAGCTTCGCAACCCAGGGCTCAACCGCTGCACCACTGGGGAGGTCCAAGACTTTATCATTTTTTCTGGAAATTTCCTTTCCCTTTTTAGTGTATCTCCATCCCATGTATTCCTCTTTTAGAGTTTACTCCCTCAGCAAGCTTTTAGCACCACGCTCTAACCAACTGAGCTAACCGGCCAGGTCAGCAAGCTTTTAGCTTAGTGGCTTAAGCATGTGTGGAGTTGGTTCAGAAGACCCTGAGTATGACCTTGGGCAAATGACTGAAGGATGGGAATAATAATCTTCCCCAGAGCATTTTAAAAAACATTAGATGACCAGATAAGTATATAGGGCCTGGATTACCATTGCGCTTTACATATGATTTTGTTGTAGAGCAACCCCGATACAATTTGACTGAATTTGTAAATTTAGATTAGTAATTATTTCTCAGAGTTGTAAAGGGCATGCTTTATTGTTTAATAGCCCTCTGCATGTGTTTGCCCTTTGGCTGGAAACTCAAGTCTTTAATATCTAGAGAAATTTCTCATTCAACAAACTTCTTCCCTCTCTTTTTCTCTTATCTCCTGCTTGTCTTTTCGTTGTTCTTTTCTTTCTGGGAGATTCCTCCACTTGATCCTCCTACCTTTCTCTTATATCTTAAATTATTATTAATGTGGTCTTGTTCACTCATGTCTTTTTAAAATCTTGAACAAAATATTTGTACTTATCACTGGGCTTATTAATCATAGTATATTTTGATGTATTTTGCTCATTGCACTACCTCTGTTTTCTATATGCTCCTTTTCCTTTGTGTTTCTGATTTCTCATTTTACATATTCTCATGTGTCTGGAGTTGGTTAGCCTTCTGCTTTCGTTTCTGAGTGAGACATTAAAACTGACAGGAAGATGAGTAGAGCTAGTCCTTGTGGTGTGATCAGATAGGAAGGAGCCAGCCATTTTGGGGTGGCACCCTGTGCCACATCTGTAGACCTAAAAATGGAAGTGGTAGATCATAAAACCAGTGTGTTTATAAAACTAAAAGAAAATTATAAGTCCCTTTTGAAAAAGTGAGAACAACAAAAATAAGATGCTATTCAGAAAGGCTTAAAGAACAAATAAAACTTTAGAAATCATTCAGTCTAGTCTCCTGCCATGGCATATGTAATCCTGGGTGCTGACTCTTCTGGAAACCCAGCAGGGAAAAGACATAGGAGTATCAAATTGTTGGGTTTGCTTATTTGGTATTTGTTTATTGTGACCAGTACATGTGAAATTTACCTATTTAATCATTTTTAAGTGTACGGTTCACTACATTCACATAATTGTACAACCAGTCTTCAGAACTCTTCATCTTGCAAAACAAAAACTGTGTAGCCATCAAAAAGATAATTCTCATTTACTTTCCCCCAGCCACTAGCAACCACCATTCCTACTTTCTAGGGATTTGACTGCTCTGGGTATCTCAGATAAGTAGAATCATCCATGGTTTTTTATGACTGGCTTCCCTTTGCCTTAATGTGTTACGGTTTCATCCATGTTGTAGTATGTGTTAGAATTTCCTTTATAAGGCTGAAATTTTGTTGTACGAATAAGTGTGTTTTGTTTATCCATTCATTCATTGATAGACATTTAGGGTTTACCCTTTGGCTGTTGTGAATGTTGTTGCTATAAACGTGTGTCCAGACATCTCAACACCCAGCTTTCATTTCTCTTTTTTGAAAAACTTTTTAAAAGATTTATTTATTTATGCATAGAAGAGCTGGGGGTGGGGGAGTGAGAGAATTCACCAGAAACAGAGTGGGGAGCAGAACATGTGGACTGTCTGAAATACACAGCGAGGGGATCAGTGGGGGAGACAGGAGAGGTCTGCTGTGTCATGTTGGTCAGCTCCCTGGCCAGGGATCGAACTCGTGCTGCAGTGGTTGCCAGTAGCTTGATAGTGCTGAGGCTTAACGCCTTGCACCACCAGGAAGCCCTATATTGGATATTTCTTTTTTTTTTTTTTTTAAAGCTTTATTTATTTGTGCATACAAGAACTGGGGTATAAGTCAGAGGAGCTGGGGTTGGGGGTGAGAGGATTCACCAGAGAGAGTGGGGAGCAGAAAAGGCAGGTCCATTGAAATACACTGCTAAGTGTATTTCTATCAGTCTACCAGTTCTTGTATGCATACATAAATAAATCTTTAAAAAAAAAAAAAAAAGAAGCACACTGATGAGGGGAGAAGCACACTGATGAGGGGAGGCAGGGAAGTCTGCTGTGCCATGTGAGGCCCTTCCCTGGCAGGCGGGAATCTGAGATAGCTCGCCTTCTCTGGTGGCACAGGCAGTTGAACGCAGCGCTGTGAAGCTGTCCACAGCCTCTGCAGCGCCCTTGCTGGCCGGCGAGGGCCCCACATGGTGCGACAGACTCCTGTCGTGCCAGAGGGATGCTCCCCTCCGCAGTGTATTTCATCAGTCTGCCTGTTCTGTTCCCGCTCTGGCTCTAGTGGATTCTCTCACCCTCCTGCACGTCTGGCTGTACCCCTGTTCTTGTATAAATAAATAAATAGAACTGAAAAAAAAAAAAGATAGTGCTATCTTTAACCCCTGGCCACCAGGGAGGCCCACTGGATATTTCTTGATAGATACTTTGTTACAATTTTTTCTTGCTTTTCACTGTTGTGTCTTTTGATGTACAGAAGTTTAAAATTCTGATACATTCCAACTTTTTTGTTTCTTATGCTTTTGATGTCCTATCCAAGAAATCACCAAATCCTGTGTTAGAAAACTTTCTCCTTCAGTTTTCCTCTAAGTTGTATAGTTTTAGCTCTTAAGTTTAGGTAGCAGTTCTATTTTGAGTTAAATTTTTTATGTTAATTTAAGGGTGCGATTTCATTCTTTTGCTTTTGGATATCTAGGTTTTCAGCACTATTTGTTGAAAAGATTGTCTTTCGCCCCATGGAATGGTCACTGCACCCTTGTGGAAAATCATTTTGAGAGGTTTTATTTCTCGGCTGTTAGCTCATTTTAACCCACCTGTTGGCAGCTGTCCCTGAGCCTGCCATCACCAATTTCTCCAGGGCACAGACCCCAGTCTTGTGCTGGATCCTCGGGGCAGTGTCAGGACCACTCTGAGTAGAAGGAGGCTGGGGGTGGGGGAAGTGGGAGAGGAAATGATTTATTGCTTTTTAAAAAGATTTTCAGTTTGTTTTGTTTTCAAACAAAATCCTAGAACCTTGGACTTCAAAGGCACAAAAATCTAATTTCTAAGTCCCTCTGAGGCTCTGCCAAGATCCCCAGCTCTTGTTGGTTTCCCGTCTTTTACAGGCTTCAGATTTAGTGCTTTTGGGCTGTCGGTTCAGTTATCACTAGTCAGCTTTCTAGTTTGCAAACTGCTGACCATTAAGTCTACTATCATTTGAGTAGTAGAGGCGTCTAAGTTTTAATAGTTTTATATTTAAATAAATGATTTGTAAAATTTGTGAGTGTTGATTTTGTTGCTTAAAAAAAAAAATCACACCCCTGGTGGCACAGGGGTTAAGTCTCAGCACTATGAAACTTTGGCCAGCCAGTGCAGCAAGAGTTCGGTCCCCGGCCAGGGAGCTACCCTCATGGTGGGGCAGACCTCTGCTGTCTCGCCCGCTGCTCCCCTCAGCAGTGTGTTTCAGTCTGCCTGTTCTGTCCCCCGCTCTGTCTCTGGTGAATCCTTTCACTCCCCCCTCCTCCCACACCAGTTCTTGTAATATAAATAAATAAAACAAATCTTTTTGTAAAAAAAAACTGTTGTCTTCACGGCATCTCACTTTTGGGGGAGGGGGTCCTTTTTAAATGTGTGGTTATTTCAGGAGATTCTTAATACTGGGGTATATGTCTAACATGACTAGATCTCTTCTGCTGACATTTTCTTCTGGTGGATTGCTTTCTTGAATATTATTAGATTGTGTTGTACTAAAATACTCTTCAAATAATGACATGGAGGAATCGTATGTTGTTTGGTGGGGGCTGTCACCCCACAATGAAGACTGGCTATATAAATTAATGCTTAACCCTAGGTAAAGGCTTGCTTATTTTTACAGAACTTTACATTTCATTTTTTTATTGACCTAGAGTCCAAACTAAAATAGAAAAGCTTTCTATTAGGCAGAGTCCCCTCCCACTTCCCACTCTTATTGGGGGGGAGGGGGGAGGGCTGTGGCACAGTTACTTCCAAATACCTGCTTTTCTGTTATCTCCTATCCCTGAGTCACCATTAAAACCAAAACTTTGGGGCCTCCCTGGTGACGCAAGGGAATAAGACACAACTTAAGCTGTCTGCAGCCACTGCAGTGCGAGTTTGATTCCCCGGCCGGCCAGGGAGCTACCCACATGGTGCGACAGACCTCTCCTGACTTGCCCACTGCTAGCCTCAGCAGTGTACTTTGATCAGTCTGCCTATTCTGCTCCCCATTCTGTCTCTGGTGAGTCCCCTCTCACCCCCGCACCTCTGGCCTGTACCCCAGCTCTTGTATGCATAAATAAATACATCTTTAAAAAGACTTTGTATTCCAGTTCAGCACCCCACTCCAATTCCCAGTGCACCCCTGTTTTATTTTTTAAATTTATGCATACAGGAACTGGGGTTCAGGCCAGAGGTGTTTGGGGTGGGGGTAAGAGGTTTTGCCAGAGACAGAGTGGGGAACAGAACAGGCTGATTGACCGAAATACACTGCTGAGGGGAGCAGCGGGTGAGTCAGGAGAGGTCTGCTGCGCCATGTGGGTTACCTCCCTGACCAGGATCAAACTCATGCTGCAGTGGTTGTGGGTAGCTGCGTAGGTTGCATCTTAACCCTTTGTGCCACCAGGGAGGCCCCTGCACCTCTGTTTTAAAGTCTTCATTCTTAATTCCTTTTTTACTGAGGCCCTTGAGGATTTTGCTGACTTTTCCATGAGCACATTTGTGCCCTTAAAAGGGACACTTAACTTTTTTAAAACATTATGTTTCACATGATTTAAAGCATTTACAAATGTTAAGTCAATTAATTCTCTTAACCTGATAAACTGGTATTAACATCTCATTTTCACAGATTGCAAAATTTGAAGCACAAAGGTTAAACTTCTTGCCCAAGACCTTCACACCCCTAGTTAAATATCGTCCAGTCTATAGGCTTTTTCTGTGTGTTGGGGAGGGACAGAGGGGGAAGAATTACATTGTTTTCACTGTTGGAGGGTGTTGATCTTTCCAGCTAATGACATGTTCAGGAGATGAAAATTTAAAATTGTTGACAATAATTGCTTATGAAGCATAAATATCCCAGAAGCTATTTGCTTCATTATTTCTCATTTGCGCCTTTGCTTTGCTTCCCTGGGACTCTTACTCAAGACAGATGTGCGCTGTGTATACATTTGGGGTCCGCATATAGGACGGTATCATGAAATGAAAATTGGCATTCCTAACCACCACACTCTGCCATGTATCTAAAGTCAGAGTATTGAAACATGGACCAAAACACCCCATTTCTAACTCCAGACTTCATGCCGAACAGAAAAGCACAAACTAGCGCAAAAACAGAATACTAAGGGTATATGATGGGTTAAATCTTTTCTCCCTTGATAGTCGCATGTTTTATACACCCAAGTCCGTGCCCCTTAGTAAGATGTAGAATGGGTGAGGCGTCTGCTCCTTTCATCTGTGGTGGACTGAGGATTGTGCAAGGGGAGGGCCTGGCACAGGAAGATCTTCCTGATGACTGACAGCACATGCTCAGGTAGCTTAGTTTGAGAAAAGCCTTCTTGTACAAGACTAAGATCTCTGGAAGTTAGTTTTTGTTAGAAACTAATGTAAGCTTTAGAAAGTCTGAATTATAGACCATATTTAGGTTGTATGCCATAGAAAGTCTGTATTACATGTACTCCAGCTTGAAGACTGGCTTTCTCCAGATTACCATTTCTCACTTGTGTCCTTCATTTAGGTGAACAAATATTTGGGGATTGTCTACAATCAAGGGTGGGCCGGGGGGAAAAAGCAGGCCTCTTTCTGACCCCTAGTGGCGGCAGCTCAGCACTGCAGATGCACTGTTGATTATACTCCCGTCAGATTTCTGGGGGGGTACTTCACGTTAAGCCCTAGTGCCCCCTCTCTTTTACCCCGTACAAGAGACTGTTCAAAGTGAACACAAGAAATCCTCATTGTCTGAGAAATTCCCTACGTGATGAAATTTCCAAGCCTTGGTCTGCATCACTCAGGAATTTAGCGAGTTCCCTATAGCATTAGGGTGATTGACATATTCATATTGTTTTACCATGAATAAAATCAGATGTAAAATCATTGGAAATCAAGAATGTTTGCTGTAAATAAGGGTTTAGAGATGGATAGTACTCCACTGCCCACAAGTTCAACTCTAGTGAACATGGGGTAAATAATAAAATGTAAAATACTGACTTTCCAAGAGACTGGCAGAAAAACCTGTTGATTAATAAGCAGTGCTAAGTTTATTAAGTCCAGGGCACTAAGGAGGAAACACCCACTTGACACAATCTCAGTTGTGACTCACAGGGAGATTAGAAACTGGCATAGTTTTGCAAAGTTTTGGTGGGTAACTTTGATGTTGGGCAATTTATGGTACCATAGGTTTGGATTGGTGGACACAAAGAAGCAAGTGTTTTGAAACAGTATGAGTAAATTATTTAGTTGATTCACAGCCTTGTTTTCTAGAAATCTTCTCCTGGGTTGTATCTCCAGGTATATCTTGAAGAAAGTGGCTAAGTGGTTTTTGCTTGGTCTCTTTCTTAGCAGGGACAAAAAATTCTCTTGTTTTCTGTTCTTAAAGGTAAAACCTGGGGCCTCCAGAGTGGCGCAGCAGGTTGAGCGCAGCTCTGTGGAGCTGTCTGCAGCGCGGGTTTGATTCCTGGCTGGCCAGGGATATCCACATAGTGCGGCAGACCTCTCCTGTCTTGCCCGCTGCTACCCTTAGCAGTGTCTTCAGTCCGTCTGCCTTTTCTGCTCCCTGCTCTGTCTATGGTGAATCCTCTCACCGTCCCACTCCTGGCCTGTACCCCAATTCTTGTATAAATAAAAAATAAATCTTTTTTTAAAAAAAGGTAAAACCTGAATTAATTCATATGAATCATTGGTTTGTTTCAGCTTTGCCCGAAGTTTTTACATACAAATTCTACTAGTCACACTTGGCCGTTCAGTGCAGTTGCTGAATTAATAGGTACGTAAGTTGACATTTCATATATAATCTGTTGCTTGCAATTGAAATTTAGAACTTTATTGAAAATCTGCGCAAGTATGCTTTTTATATAAACAAATGTATCAAATGATGACATCAGTAAAGGTTACCTGCATAACAACTACTCAGATCACTGTCCAACTTTCCTGCAAAAATGAGAATTATGTTTTTTAACGGTGCAAAAGTATGTATAAAATAGAGTGGATTAATTTCTCTGAGGTTAGTACATAGGAGAATTATGTTAGATTTGTGATGATTTTTATTTTCTCCAACAGATAGACTTAATCAAGGTATAGTGTTATAAATAATATATATTTATATATTATATTTATATTTTGTTATAGGGTTATATTTTAATACTATTTTAATGACCATGAGAAAAAAGGCAAGGTTGTGATCAGATTACTATTATGGGTCATGATTTTTATCTTGAGAAAATTTTTGTACACAAGTTTTAAAATTTGAGCATATATTAGAGAAATAGATAAAGGAAAATTAATGTTCCTGGAAATTCTTAAGTATTCTTTATCTTGGAATGGTTCTTTTTTTTTTTTTAGGATTTATTTATTTATGCATACAAGAGCTGGGGTATAGGCCAGAGGTGTGGGGTGTAAGAGGATCCACCAGAGACAGAGTGGGGAACAGAACAGGCAGATTGACTGAAATCACTGCTGAGGGGAGCAGCGGGGAGACAGGAGAGGTCTACTGCTCCACGTGGGTAGCTCCCTGGCTGCAGATTGAACTCATGCTGCAGTGCTGCTGACAGCTTCATAAGTTGCGTCTTAACCCCTTGTGCCACCAGGGAGGCCCCAGAAGGGTTTTATCTTAAATGTTCAAGAAAAGAAAAGAAGGAACTCTGGCACACCCGTCTTTTCTTTGCTAGACAGGGCAGGGAGAGTGATGCCTAAAGAAAATTGAATGGCCAGCTATTCCAGGGTCCCAGGAAGCACTTACCAGAGCTAGTGGAGCCCAGGAAGACCAAGAAACACTCAGAGGAAAGAAGGCAGTAGCCATCTCTCCCCCCTCAACTCCCCCTGCCACCTACAGGCCGATTGATAAAGGTGGAAGAAAACAAGAAGCTGTAAAGGGGGGAAGGCAGACTCCCACTCCCACCTGCTTCTAGGGCTAGTAAAACTAAACCTCAGGAGCACAGTGGAAGGGGAGGTGACTTAGAAACTGCTGCCTGGATTAATAGCCAACACCCTGGGAGCACCTGTGCAGTGTACCCCAGAAAGGGGCGGAGTGAGCAGTCTCCTGCACCCTGTTCAAGCCAGGAGCCCCTTGCCTTTCCCTGCAGTTGTTCTACTCTGCCTGCCTGGGACCTCTCCTTGGGTATACTTTCATTCCGCCCCTAAATAAATTTTGCTTTTGCTTGTGCTAAAGATGTGGCTTTGAATTTCTTCATGACCATAGATAAGGACTGGGAAACCCCAAAACCCGACATCTTCAGTGTAAGTTTTCTAGTCTCCCAGCTAACATGTTTTTCAGGTGTGTTTCCGATTTTAACCCTGACGTGGCTGTGCTATAGCTGGGCACCTGTTGATGGTTGTTGTTCTTTAATGACGCCAAAGGGGCTCCCCAGCCTGGGATTGCTTTTCATACATGCTGCTTCTGCAGTTAGTGCGGGCGCACCTGAGCGTCATAATGCTCTTGGTGGCATGTTAGAGTTTGTATTTTATGAAGCATCTTTTCAAAAGTAGTTAATAAATAAGATGAGATGATTTTAATCATAGGCAGCCTTGTGGCAGGATAGCTTGAGAAGCATTTTTTATTTGATAAGGACATCCCGTATACCCCAGAAATATATTTAGTCAGTTAAAGATATTCACATGGATCCTAGACTTTTTATGAGTTGATTTTATTCCTGCTAATATTGAAGTTTTTCATTTTTCTTTGTTGTGTTCCCTCCTCCTTACTCTGAGAGAAGTAAGAATGTTAAATAAGTATTAAATTGGCAGCTGTACTTAGAGGTCATAAAAGTGTGAAGCTACCAGAAACTTTGGTTAAGTTGAAAGAGTCACAACTTAAAGAACTCCGTAGAAGGTAAATCTCCATTTGTGTGCGTAGCTTAGCAGAAACTGTTAGTGCTTGTTGACTTGCTCAGTAACCAAGCTGCGTTCTGTCTATGGCAGCTCACTGTGCTAGTTGACACCCAGTTCTCCATTTCTCCTAAGATAGCCAGGCTGGTTCTTTGCGCTGAATACTTCTCTGTGCTGATCATTTCTTTAATGCAGCGCTGCTTCTTGTGAAACCTTTTCAGTGTTTCAGTCTTTGCTCCCTATGTAATGACTGGGGGCTTTGGAAAGAATTACTTCTGTAATGATCAGTGAAGGGCATAGCACCGGCCACAGCTTAGCTTCATGGTTTCAAATTCTGGGAGTTCCAAAACATTTCAACTTTAAATTTCCTTAAAATGTAGTATTTTGTTGCTTGTTACACGATTGTTCTGAACTAATTAATTGCTCTTCTTTGAAATGCAAAAACAAGTTTTATTTCAAAACTTCTGTTCCAGATAATGCTTATGATCCTGATGTGAATGCTAAGCAGATATGGATTGACAAAACAGTGATAAACAACCATATATGCTTGACCTTCACTGATAATGGGAATGGAATGACTTCAGATAAATTACATAAAATGCTAAGGTATGTAAAAATATTCACATTTCTTAAAATCAGCGCTTTTTGCCTAATTCAAATGTATGTGTCGTACTTGTTGCCATAGTGTTTATTTTGAAATGAAATGCTAGACCCATAGTGTGCTGCTCTGTTCTTTGTCTTTCCATCATTTCCTACAACACGTAGCTTTTAAGGCAGTCCCTGCCTTTCTCATCACTTTGCCCCCAATCTAACTTACCTAAAACTCCCCCATTCCTTTGGAGTTATGGCACATTGAAATCAGTTATTTATACTGTAGCATAAGTTAATTTTAGCCAGTATTTCCAATAAAATACTTGGGGGCTTGGTCATTTTTCATTAAGAGGATGAGGAAGTGACATAAAATAGTGATAAGGCCTTGGGTTCCCCGGGTCCAATGGGCTGTCAGAATGGGATGTCATATGGGATGTCAGTATGAAGCCAGATAGCCTCAGTGGGAATGAAGACATTGTGTAGGTACAGGGTAGAGAGGGAATTTGGCTGTAGAGGCCTTTCTACCATCCTCCACATCCTCTTCATGCTGCCAGGAGGTCGGGTGACCCCATCAGTAAGTCACACTACGGTGGGCTTGCTGAGAACCGAGAAGCATCAAAACTCAAGGAGGGAGTTCATGAGACAGAATCAGATGATAGCCCGGTCATATGTGCCAGCAGCCAGTTCCTGTTGCAGTGTGTGTGTATCCCCCTACGTCTCTGCGATGCAGCTCTATTTCCCTTCATTGGGAGACAGGGAAACATGCCTAGATAATTTACCCAAGATTAAACCGTGACCAAGGGTGAGGCCCGCAGTCAAATCCAGGCTTTTTATTTGGTACTTCAGTTTGTGAATTTTATAAAAAGATGATTTAATTATTATAAAAATCTTTCTTTTCTTTTTAGCTTTGGCTTCAGTGACAAAGTCACCATGAATGGTCGCGTCCCAGTTGGGTTGTATGGGAATGGCTTCAAGTCCGGTTCTATGCGTTTGGGTAAAGATGCGATTGTTTTTACCAAAAATGGAGAAAGCATGAGCGTGGGCTTCTTGTCTCAGACATACTTGGAAGTCATAAAAGCAGAACATGTTATTGTCCCAATAGTGGCATTCAACAAACACCATATCCTTTTGATTTTGGAATAGAAACTGAAGAAATACTCTGAGCCTTTCCATCCTTTTGTCCTCCTCCAAATTCTTGGTTTTTCCATTCTAGCTCCTGTTTCTATTCATTGTCTTTATTCTATCCTTGACACTGTGTTCCTTTCTGTTCTCTGTTGTAAGTATGCTGTGGAAATTTTTTTTTTTAAGATTTATTTATTTATTTATTTATAGAAGCACTGGGTACAGTCAGAAGCATGGGAGGGTGAGAGAATTCACCAGAGCCACAGCGGGGAATAGAACAGGCAGAAGGACCAAAGCACACTGCTGAGGGGAGCAGCGGGCGGCAGGAGAGGTCTGTTGTGCCATTTGGGACCCTTGTCCGACGGCCAGGGATCGCAGCCCAGCACTCAACTGCTGCGCCACCAGGGGAGGCCCCTGCTGTGGAAATTCTTAACTTTGAGTTGTCGTGTTTTGTTAAGCTTCCATAGCTCTCCTCTTTATTTCAGTCTCACTGTTGTCTAATAAGATTTGTGGTCTGGCTTGAAATGTTCACTCGTGACCACGAAAAGCAAGATACCTTTAAGAAAATGTCTTCTGTGGAAACATTCAATATTGGAAACCATTACATCAGTTAGGAATAATAATAAATTTGCTCATACTTCATTCTTCTTGGTGTTCATTTGAAATCAAACTGCCATTTTAAAACTTAGAAAATAATTTAGGAAGTAGTTTTCTGTTGCTTACGTTTGTGTTGATCTCCATATTTTAATTCTGAATTATGTTGTTGGTTAAGTCTTTAACTTAGGTTATACGACAGATGATTAATTTAACAGAATCAAAAGCAAGCCTTGCTGCAATTCTGGAACATTCTCTCTTTTCTACGGAACAGCAACTACTGGCAGAACTTGATGCTATCATGGGTAAGAAGGGGACAAGGATCATCATTTGGAATCTTAGAAGGTAAATGTAGACTCAGTTGGTGGTTCAGTTTGGGAAGCAAAGTGTCTGTACTGGAATGGTTTCGTTACATTCATTCTTTGTTACATTGAAAGGTACTCATTTTTTCAGCATATTTTGTGATTTGTCTTTTCCAAATGTTACTGTTGAGGCCACTTTGAGATAATTTCATATTATTGAAAATAAATATATTAGCCCTGCCATCCACTCCCTTTTAACCCACTACTTTCCCTCTGTTATTTACCTCTTCTCAAAAAACTTGCCAAAAAAAGAAAGGCGAAGATAAAAGCCCAGCTAGCAGGCCCCAGTGTAAGCTCCAGGAATCTTGTCTCCATTATTTAAACTAAGCATGAACTAGCACCTGCTAAGAAAAGGAATATAGAGGAAATTCATGTGTTGCTAAAAATTTTTAGTCCTTTGTCCTTATGAGGATAAAAATCACTTGTGAGTGAAAGCTTTAAAAATGATGATGAGTGTATAATATTGAGAGATCAGACATAGTGAATCACACCAATAAAGCACAAATAGGGCTAAGCCTGAAATATTTGTGCTTTTTTTTTTTAATAGAGGCATGTTTTTATTTATTTATTTGTTTGTTTGTTTGTTTTTGTTTATACATGCACTGGGTACAGTCAGAGGCGCGGGAGGGTGAGAGAATTCACCAGAGCCAGAGCGGGGAGCAGAACAGGCAGAAGGACCGAAGCACACTGCTGAGGGGAGCAGCGGGTGGCAGGAGAGGTCTGCACGCCATGTGGGACCCTCCTCCGGTGGCCGGGGAGCAGCCGGGGATCGAACCGGCGCCGCAGAGGCTGCGGGCAGCCTCGCAACCCAGCGCTCAACCGCTGCGCCACGGGGGAGGCCTATTTGTGCTTTTTTTGACCTCTTTTGAGTTCCCTTTTTATTTTCTTGCTTAGCTTCCTGACCCTTTCCATTTTCCCCCAATTTCTCTTTTTGTTTTTTGAGATTCTTACAGAATCATGTGCACTTATAAGTAGTAGTAGAGCTTGGGGGCCTTTACCGAGTTCCTCCCAATGGAACACAGTAAAAAGAGCTGTTGCTGCCGGCATTCCTGCTTCCTGACGCGGGATGTTTTCATCACCACAGTATCCCTCATGTCACCCCTTTTATATCCATTGCCCCGCTTCCCTAATCCCTGCAGCCTCTACCACCACACCTCCATTTCTGTAGCTTTGTCATTTGAAAATGTTATATAATTGGAATCATACAGTGTGAAACCTCTGGGGATTGACTTTTTTCATTCAGCCTAATTCTCTGGAGAGTCCTCCAGGCTCTTGGATGTGTCAAGTAGTTTGTTTCCTTTTCTGTGTTGAGTAGCATTGCATTGAATGCACAGGCCACAGTGTGTATACACCCACTTACCTCTTAAAGGATACCTGGGTTGTATACAGTTCATGGCTATTAAAAATAAAGCTACAGGGCCTCCCCGGTGGCGCAGCGGTTGAGCGCTGGGTTGCGAGGCTGCGCGCGGCCTCTGCGGCGCCGGTTCGATCCCCGGCTGCTCCCCGGCCACCGGAGGAGGGTCCCACATGGCGCGCAGACCTCTCCTGCCGCCCGCTGCTCCCCTCAGCAGTGTACTTCGGTCCTTCTGCCTGCTCTGCTCCCCGCTCTGGCTCTGGTGAATTCTCTCGCCCTCCCGCGCTTCTGACTGTACCCAGTGCATGTATAAACAAAACAAACAAAGAAACCAGCAAACAAATAAATAAAGCACGCCTCTATAAAAAAAAAAAAAAAAATAAAGCTACAAACTTTTTTTTTTTTTTTAGATTTTTATTTATGCATGCAAGTGCGGGGGGCTGGGGTGGGGTGAGAGGATTCACCAGAGACAGAGTGGGGAGCAGAACAGGCAGACCGGGGAAATACGCCGCTGAGGGGAGCAGCAGGCAAGACAGGAGAAGTCTGCTGTGCCATGTGGGTCAGCTCCCTGGCCTGGGATTGAACTCTTGCTACCGTCACTGCAGATAGCTTCATGTGCTGAGACTTAATCCCTTGCGCCACCAGGGAGGCCCAGTCCTTACTTTTTTAGGATAAATGCCTGGAAGTATAATTGTTAGGTCATGTGGTAGTTGCATGTTTAGATTTTCAAGAAATTGCTAGAGTGTTTTTCCAGTGACTCTGCCACTGCCATTTCACATTCCCACCAGCACCGTGTGAGTGGATACGCTTTCTCTGCCTCTTCCTGGATTGCTTTTCTTTCTTTCCCTTGTCCCTTACCCGCCATGATGCCTAGCAAGTGTGTTTTGGTAATTAATGGTATTTGCTTATCTTGCTGTGATGTTAAAATTTGCTTCTTTCAAAAAATTTTTACAGCTCCAAAAATGCAACAGAGTTTGATTTTGATAAAGATAAATATGACATCAGAATTCCTGAAGATTTAGATGAGACAACAGGGAAGAAAGGCTACAAGAAGCAGGAAAGGATAGACCAGATTGCCCCTGAGAGTGACTATTCCCTGAGGGTATGTATTCGCTCTCTGTTGAAATGAGATAAAAATACCAAATAATGAAAATTATGTCAGCTGCTGTGACCCTCCATTGTGGATCACTGTGCTCTGTGTCGTGCATGCTGCCAGTTATCTCTAAATGCAGGTGTCTCCAACATGAATCAACTTCCTCAGCTTTTCACAAACACGGTGGTAGTTTTTCTTTGTGATGTCATCCGGTCTGATGGCACTTGTAGTTCTTTCAGTATGTGGCTAAATGACTTTGAATTGGGGATACTAGAGTCAGTATATTCCCTATCCTCCAGAGCGATTTATTCAGCCAAAAATACCATATTAGAGTGTCTTCTTTAATTTCAAATATTCTAGAATCCACACACATGCCTATACATATAGTAACCTTAATTGACATCCTAAAGCAATAAATTAAATATAGGCTATATAGATAATGTTTGCTAACATCATTTTCTGATAAAACTGAGATATGGCCTTAGAAATGGGTATGTTTTTAACATTGAAATTGAAGTTATTATCTTCTTGTTAACAATGTTGATATAATACAAGACTATTAAGCCAGTCACTATGATAAGGCACCTAATACTAACTTTTCTTTTTACTTCTTGAGCTAAAATTACTCTAACTCCACGCTGAGGATCCATTTGTCATTTACAAATTTACCCTATAACTTTTCTGAAACCCTAGCAATTACAATGGCAGTTGTTGGTATTCCTTGATATATACCCATGTGTTAAGGAAATTTTACTCAAGTATGAAACAAGCAGCTTGAACAGATGATGTGGTTTTAGTATACGACCAAGTAAAATGTTCTGAAATATCATTAATGAATTTATAAATTGATAGCAAGCTTGTCACTAATTTTAAAATTAGGAGTCACGAAAAAAATATTCAAATTTTTCTTTGGTGTTGAACCCACATATTCATTTCTTTCAGAGTTTTTTGATAGCTTGAAGTCAGGTAAAGAAAAGCATCTTTTAAAATGTTTCAGGACATAAAGTCTCGTCAAGATTGTGGATATTTAAACTTCCATCTGTTGAAGCACGCTTAGGTGTCTGCTGACTGGCACAGCTCAGTTTTGAAAAGTGTTAATTGTGTCTTGAGTATTGGTGCCTTATTTAAACATTTCCCTTTCAAGCTTATGGTAATCATTTTATTTGTATTAGATTTTGCTAGGTTTTTTTTTTTTTTGCCTTAATTTAGTTTATTGTTGCTTATAAGTTTTAATAGCAGTTATGTGCTTGATAGAAGAGTTAGGAAATATGGTCCTTTCTTATACATATGTACATCTTTTTAAAAAAATTACAATGAGAGCCTATCACAAATGCTGTTTTATAACTTTTTCCTCTGAACACATCAACATCTATAGAGGTCAATAGATTGTTTTCTTCAGATCATTTTTATTGACTAGAGTGTCAGTTTATTTTTGAGAAAAAGTAATCCGGTATTAACTAATATAACATTATAGTCCATATTTTATTGAAAAGTTGATGGGTCTTTTATCAAAATGAGGTGGTAGTTTTTAAATCCATGATTAATGTTGAACAATTTGTAGATAATTACTTGGAAAGGACAGCTATTGTTGTGTGTCTTTGCAGGCTTACTGCAGTATATTATATCTAAAGCCAAGAATGCAGATCATCTTACGTGGACAGAAAGTGAAAACACAACTAGTTTCGAAGAGTCTTGCCTACATTGAACGTGATGTTTATCGACCAAAATTTTTAGTATCCTTTACTTTCCTTTTCTTGATGCCATATAGAGATATGTCAAATGTGTCTACCTCCTCCTTTCTCCTTTTATCCCAGCATGGATTCTAATCCTCTCTGCCTTTGCCATTTTTAATGCATTTTTTAAAGATTTATTTATTTATTTTTATAAATTTTTTTTTAATAGAGGCATGTTTTATTTATTTGTTTGTTTGTTTGTTTATACATGCACTGGGTACAGTCAGAAGCGCGGGAGGGTGAGAGAATTCACCAGAGCCAGAGCGGGGAGCAGAGCAGGCAGAAGGACCGAAGTACACTGCTGAGGGGAGCAGCGGGCGGCAGGAGAGGTCTGCGTGCCATGCGGGACCCTCCTCTGGTGGCCGGGGAGCAGCCGGGGATCGAACCGGCGCCACAGAGGCCACGGGCAGCTTCGCAACCCAGCGCTCAACCTCTGCGCCACCGGGGAGGCCCAAGATTTATTTATTTATGCATACAAGAACTGGGGTACAGCCCAGAGATATGGGGTGGTGAGAGGATTCACCAGAGACAGAGTGGGGAACAGAACAGGCAAATCAACCTAAATACACTGCTGAGGGGAGCAGAGGGCGAGTCAGGAGAGGTCTGCTGTACCATGTGGGTAGCTCCCTGGCCGGGGATCAAACTTGTGTGGCAGTGGCTGCGAATAGCTTCATAGGTTGCATCTTGCATCACCAGGGAGGCCCTTTTTAATGCATTTTTTGACTCAGTAACTAAGAAATGGAAAGGATGATTTGAAGGGATTGAGATGATGTATTCAGAATTTTCCTTAACTTTTGAAGACTAAAACAGTGAGGATTACCTTTGGATTCAACTGCAGAAATAAAGATCATTATGGGATAATGATGTATCACAAAAATAGACTCATCAAAGCTTATGAAAAAGTTGGATGTCAGTTAAGGGTAAGCTGTATATATGACAATGGCTATCTTTTATGAAAGTTAGAATCATGTGTTGTTGGGTCACATATGACAGTTTCACTGCTTTTTGTCTAATGACTTAAAAGTCATGATTTTAATTAATATTTAATTAATTATGATTTTAATAACACTGGCATGGCATTTTAACTTAAAACACTGTTTTCTCTTTTTGATCCTAAATATTCAATGGGGAGACAGATATCTTATTTCTATTTCATAGATGAGAACTTTAGGACTAATAAGTTAAATCACTTGCTTGTTGTTAAGTAACTTGCCTGTTGTTATTGCCTGACAGTAAGTGTGGATCTCAGTCAGACACAGGTACTGTTCTTTTGACTGCTTTTGTATTTGAACTTGTGATCATTTCATGCTGCAATGAAGGTGGCCGACTCAAATTATCTGAAAAACAGTATTTGATGGTGATTTACTTTTCTTGAGTTAATTCTTATATATATAAAATAACCTCCCTAAAGGGCTGCATTTGTTGGTTGTTTCTCACCATGTCAATCTGTCATTTACATGTCATCATAGAAAAGTTTTTTTGATGTGTGTATGTTAATAATTCAGTGATCAGTTCAGAAAATCAGCTTCGTTAAAGATTTTAAGTCTAGGCATATTTGTTTTCCAGTTTTTTTCATTTTCTATCATCTTATTCTGTGGTTCTTGTGGAATTATGCAAGCTCTACACACTAGAATAATGTGGGTTTATCTTGAATTTCATTCAACTGGGGTTAATAACATTTTGCGTAGTTTACATGGTATGAGCCCAGAATACAGCATTTTTCCAGCAGTGAGTTGTTGGGCCTATCTTTGCCATTACTAATTTCAGCCAGAAAATAAACCCCCAAATCTGACAACCTTGATATGAAGTATAAGTAACTTTGATTTAAAATGTTGATTTTCATTACAGTTAGAAAAGCAATGTTTACCAGAAGTATTCTATAATTAAAGTTACTGAATGTCACTGGTAATTGGAAATGCATTTTTAGTAATAGCCTTTTTTTCTCAAGTGCTTTGGGGTTTAAAAGAAACATCTGTTCTGGAATGTAATTTTTTTAATTAAATTTATCTATCTATATGTATTTTACATTGTTCATTTTTGTACAATGTTTGCTTTTTTTCCTCTCAGGTGGAGTCCCCATAAAATTCCTATTGCTAGTTCAGCCATGCACCATCACCGTAGTCCCCCGCACTCTGCCTCTCCCTCCCCTGCAGAATGGCTCTGATTTATAGTTGCCTGTTAATTTTGGTTTTTTTGTTTATTGTTAGTACTATTTTTTCCTGATTCCTTATTTGCTTCTCCTGTATTCTTTCTATAAGTGAAACCATCTGGTATTTGTAAAGTGTAGTTTTTTATAATCAGTTATGAATCTGATTTAAGATATAGCCCACTTTCCCACTTCAGTTGAATTTGCATGGTGTATAATTTCTGGTTAGACTTGACCTTGTAAAAATTGGCTTTTATTGTAGCCAACTTTTATTGTATTCTTTACCAGATAATGGAGTGCACCTAGTATTTGCATTTTATGGATTCAGCAAGCATTTATTAAATAGGTGTCAGATACCCAGTATGATTTGCCGTGCTAGATGGATGCTCAGTGGAAAAAGGTGATAAAAGAGCATATTCTCAGAGGTCAGTTTTGGGGGGATGTACATTCTTAAAGGCTTCTTGGAGAAAGTGGTAACCAGGAAAAGTCTCAGCTGACATCAGTGTGTTGGAAGGCTGTCAGGTCTGTCCAGGGAAGAAGATGGGCAAAGAAGGGGAAGGGGCCTCTGAAGGAATGGCTGTGTCCAGGGAGGAATTCCTTGTGCTGGACTGTACAGTACATGGGGAGTAGAGTAATAGGAAAGAAGCAGAAAGATGAGGCTGGAAAAAGTTGAACAGAAACTACAAATTTAAGTGACTGTGGTTTGAAAATGGTATCAGAGGAGGAACAATTGATGGTTTTTAATAGAGCAGGATTATGATTAGATGTGTTGTTTTTATCGATGGATGTGTTTATGAAAATATTCCTTTTATAAGTTATATATTTTATTCTTAGTATTTAGAAGTAAACTGAACAAAATACACAAGTGATAATAGTAATATGACATACTTTGAATTAAACATATTAACCAGAGGGTTTAAAAAAAAAAAAAACTTTAAATGACCTAGGTTTTTATTCAATTACCTGAGTAACTGAGTAAACAGCTTTGATTTTTAACTATTAAACTTAAGGAACATTATGTGCCAGAGCCTTTGCTAGTCACTATGGTTATATAAATGAGTTAGTTGTGGTTTCTACTAAGAAACCGCATTCCAGTAGAGGTAGGATTTTATTTATATAAAATTGAGGGTAGTGATAATTGCCTAAACAGCTATCTGACAGCGGTGGAAATGGTTTTAAGGAAAGAATATTATATGTGTAGGAATTAACTTCCAGAAAAGTAAATCATCTTTTTAATTTAATTTAAAGTGCTTTTTAATTTAATCTAAAACTCTTGAGAATCATGTGAAATAAAGTACAGGAAAATGTTTCATACAAATTATAAAAACCTCTGTGTAAGAGTAATTACTTCAAGCATCATGTCTTAGACTTTTAAAACTCCAATTTCATTTTTTCAGGCAAACAACATGGGTGTAGGAGTAGTTGGAATTATAGAGTGTAATTTCCTACACCCAACTCACAATAAACAAGATTTCGACTACACTAATGAGTACAGGTATGTTACCTATTTAAATTGCTACCTTTTTACAGTCTATTTGAATATTTTCCTAACATTTTTCTAAGCTGAATAGTCTTTCTGTCATATAGATAATAGGTAGGTTAGAGGATTGTAAAAAAAAAAAAAAAAAAAAAAAAAAAAAACATGTATTCTTACACCTTCTGTTCCATAATATATGCTCATTAGGACGACTGTCCCTCACAGTTTTGGCTCCATCACAAGTAGAATATAATGTCCCCTGTCTTTACCGGCTGGGTCTTTCTAAGGTTCTTCAAGACACAACTTGTTCTTGCTTTCTTGGTATCATTTTTGGTATAATCATAAAATCCTGGGCCTCCCCCGTGGCGCGGCGGTTGAGTGCTGGGTTGCGGGGCTGCCCGCAGCCTCTGCAGCACCGGTTCAATTTCCGGCCATCGGGCGAGGGTCCCACATGGCTCGCAGACCTCTCCTGCCGCCCGCTGCTCCCCTCAGCAGTGTGCTTCGGTCCTTCTGCCTGCTCTGCTCCCCGCTCTGGCTCTGGTGAATTCTCTCACCCTCCCGCGCTTCTGACTGTACCCAGTGCTTGCATAAATGCATAAATAAATAAATAAATCTTTAAAAAAAAAAATCATAAAATCCTGACACTCTGTGCTTAGTTAGGAACTTCAAGAAAATATAGTTATATGTACCTTAGAACTACTCAGTTATCTTTTTTTTTAAAGGATTTATTTTATTTATTTATGCATATAAGAGCTGGGGTATAGGCCAGAGGTGTAGCGGGGAGGGGGGGGGAGGTTGAGAGGATTCACTGGAGACACAATGAACAGGCAGATCTACTGAAATACATTGTTGAGGGGAGCACTGGGCAAGACAGGAGAGGTCTGCTGCGCCATGTGTGTCAGCTCCCTGGCTGGGATTGAACTCATGCCACAGTGGCTGGCGATAGCTTCATAGTGCTGAAACTTTAACCCCTGTGCCACCAGGGAGGCCCCGAAATACTCAGTTATCTTTAGGAGTAGATAGAAGCCTTAGAATAAACGTGACCATCAATTTTACCTATCATTAAGAAGCACAAACAGTTGTCCTAATGAACATATAGTATGAAATAGAAGGCCAACGTTGTATAAATATGTGTGAAAACTTAAATCCCTTCCTCAAAAAAGCAAATGAAATAGAAAATTAAATGAGCAAATATAAGAGCAAAATCAGAGAATTAGGAAACATACACAACAGAGAAAATCAGTGTCTCATTCAGAGTTCAAATCTGTTACTTAAACAGGGATAATTTTTTTTTTTAAATATTTATTTTAGGGCCTACCCTGGTGGCGCAGGCGTTTGAGTGCAGCACTGTGAAGCTGTCCACAGCCTCTGCAGCGCCGGTGTGATCCTGGCCGGTGAGAATCCCACATGACGTGGCAGACCTCTCCTGTCTTGCCCGCTGCTCCCTTCAGCAGTGTATTTCAGTCAGTCTGCCTGTTCTGCTCCCTGCTCTGTCTCTGGTGAATCCTCCTACCCTCCCGTGCATCTGGCATGTACCCCGGTTCTTGTATGCATGAATAAATAAATCTATTAAAAGAAAAGATTTATTTATGCATATCTTTAAAAAAAAAGATTTATGCATACAAGAGCTGGGTACAGGCCAGAGATGGTTGAAGGGAAGGTGAGAGGAGTCACCAGAAACAGAGTGGGGAGCAAAACAGGCAGATCTACTGAAATACACTGCTGAGGAGAGCAGCACGTGAGACAGGAGAGGTCTGCCGTGCCATGTGATTAGCTCCCTGCCTGGGTATCAAACTTGTGCTGCAGTGGCTGCTGATAGCTTCATAGTGCTGAGACTCAACCCCTTGTGCCACCAGGAAGGCCCCCTAAACAGGGATAATTTAATAAAAGGAGTGGTTAACTAGAATTGTAGGAGGTGATTTCTGCAAGGGTAAAACGAGAGAGTGGATATCCAGAGTCAGCATATACCAAGGGCAGCTGTTACTTCTTCATTGAAAGAGAGTAGACAATAAAGTAGCTAGGAGAGGGCTCCCCTCACCCCATTCCTGAAATTGGAGGTTCAGATATTTTTGTACAGGTCGCAATAAACCCAGGAACTAGCTACCTGCCATGGCAAGAAACAGACTAGTGCTGGTCTGTAGATGAGGCCTACTGTTGTTAGTGGGGTGTAGCTGTTCTGTAGAGGAGACATGTTTTTGCCCAAGGCTATGGCCACACTGGAACTGTCTCTTGCTGGTGGTCATGGGCTGCTGGACAGCAGATGGCCGAAGCACAACTGAAGCTCTGCTGGGAGGCCACTGGGCTCAGCCAGAGGTGAACGATAGAGCACCAGTACCTGAAGGACGAGTGTCTCAACTGCTGTCACCTTTCAGGTTTATTGTCCCATTAACCTACTTTAAATTCCTCAGACTGACAAAGGATAAATAATTCAGGCTCAAGCTTTCACAGAATTGAGCAAGGAATATTGAGTGGGTGCTGAGAGATGACAAATTAGTAACTGGCTCGATCAAATAGCCCAGAGTCTGTTTACTGATGAGATTTACTCGAGTAATGGATCCTATAAGCAACTGGTGAGATCCTATAAGCAAGGGGGAAAAGAAGAAAATGGGAATGATAAATATCAGAAATGAAAAGGAGGGCATTCCTACAGATCTACAAACAGAGAGACACCAACGGGATAGCATGGACAACTTTACACCATTTTAGATTGTGTGCATACATTCCTTTGGAGGCGAAGCACTTTTCAGAACAGTTCCCACATTTTAAATTTGAATATTTAAGGAAGAACTGGCACCATTCTTACACAACCCCTTTAAAGGTTTTATGAGGCTGCATAGTTTTGGTAGTGAACTCTTGAATATCTTACAAGAATGAAAGTTTATGTCAATCTTTTGATCAAGATATAAAAATCTAATTAAAATAACTGGAAGTACCAGCCAGTGACATGAAAAAAAGGGTAATGCATTCAAACAAAGTAGACTGTATTCTAAGTTGGCAGAGGTGGTTTTAATATTTAAAAGATCAGTGTACTTCATCATGTTGATTTTTAGAAAAGAAAAATCTTGAGGTTCTTTTCATATGATCAAAGCACTTGATAAATTGTAACATTGATTTGTGATTCAAGTAAAAAGGAATGGGGGGGTGGGGGGTGGGGAGGGGAGATATTGGGGTCAAAATAAGGGGGTTGCAATTATATGGGGAATATAAAAATAAAATTTATTTAAAAAAGAAAAAAGGAATGTGTACAAAACTATTAATCAAAGGACATAGTATAGTGAAGGAGTATTTACAGAAACAGCAGCTATCATTCTGTAATGGGAAATTATTTAAAGTTTCAAGTTAAGAGGAAGAATGAGATGGGATCAGCTATTCACTATTCATCTTGAGGAAATAACCAGGATAATAGGTACGAAAAAGAAATGAAAATTATGGGCTTCCCTGGTGGTGCAGGGGTTAAAGTCTTAGCGTTGTGAGGCTATCTCCAGCTACTGCAGCATGAGTTCATTCCGGGCCATGGAGCTGACCCACATGGTGTAGCAGACCTCTCCTGTCTCCCCGCTGCTCCCCTCAGCAATGCATTTCAGTAGATCTGCCTGTTCACTGTGTCTCTGGTGAATCCTCTCACCCCTCTCCCCCCTCACCTCTGGTCTACACCCCAGGTCTTGTATGCATAAATAAATAAAAAATAAATCTTAAAAAAAAAAAAATGAAAGTTACAAGGGTTGGGAAGAAGGAATAAAATGTTTTCTGTAGATGACAATGCTAAGTATACAGAAAGTTCTGAGAGCTTTTAATGGTAATTGATTTGCTCACTTAAGCTTTAAGGTTACATGTATAGGAATAGCTATGTTTTTTGTATAATTGTCAGAAGATGACATTCTCGAAAAAGGTACCTTTGACATTAATTTGGCAAGTTCTTAACTAAGACCTTTTAGCGTCTTCTTTTTTCCTGATAAGACCAAATGATATCAATTTCATACCCCACTGTGCAGATCTATAATTATTTTTTGTTCATTTTTATTAAATTTTTTTTAATTGAAGTACCATTGGCTTCTATCACTGTTAGTATATTGGAAGTATAATATCTCCACCTTCAGGTGTAGTGCACATTAATGCACCCACCATATCCATAGCCCTCCACCATAGTCTAGTGTGCGCTCTCTACCCAATTCTCGCCTCTCTTCCACTCCTGCTTCCCCTGGGGAGACCTCAGTTCTGTGGTCAGCTTTCAGGGGCTGGTTTTAAAGTGTGTCTCTGACCCTTTGTTTTCTCTATATTCCACATATAAGTGACACCACCTGGCATTTATCTCTCTCCTTCTGCCTTATTTTACTTAGTATAATCCCTTCCAGCTCTAGTCATGTTGCCACAAATGGCATCTTTTTTTTTTTTAAGATTTTTTTTATTTATGCATACAAGAACTGGGGTACAGGCCAGAGGTATGGGGAGATGAAAGGATTCACCACAGACAGAGTGGGGAACATAACAGGCGGATCAACTGAAATACACTGCTGAGGGGAGCAGCAGGGAGTCAGGAGAGGTCTGCTGTACCATGTGGGTCAGCTCCCTGGCCAGGAATCGAACTCATGCTGCAGTGGCTGCAGACTGCTTCATAGTTTGCGTCTTAACCCCTTGCGCCACCAGGCAGGCCCAGATGGCATCTTTTTTGATTGCAGAGTAATATTCCATTTTGTATGTATACCACACTTTATTCACTCATCTGTTTTGGGCACTTAAGTTCTTTCCATAGCTTGGCCATTGTAAATAATGCTTCAGTACATGGCGGCAGTGCAAGTTTCCTTTTGAATTAAAGTTTTTGTAGATACTTAGGAGTGGGATTGCTGGGTCTTATGGCAGATCCATTTTTAATTTTTTGAGAAACCTCCATACTGCTTTCCAATAGGAGCTGTAACAGTCTGCATTCCCACCACAAGTGTCATTCCCCACCATCTCCAGCATTGGTTTGTGATCTTTTTGATGTGGGTCATTTTTACCCATGTGGGGTGGTATCTCATTGTGGTTTTGATTTGTATTTTCCTGATGATAAATGGTAATGAACAATGTTTCATGTGCCTGTCTTCTTTGGAGAAGTTCCTGTTTAGCTCTTCTGCCCATTTTATGATTGGGTTATTTTCTTTTCGTTGAATTGTATGAGTTCTTTGTAGATATTTGATGTCAATCCTTGTCAGATGTGTATAGTATGCGAATATTTTCTGCCATTCAGTAGGGTGTCCTGAAGTCTTGGTTTTTAAAAAGCTTTATTTTAAATTTAGAATGTTACACTGACTTTATCTTGTGAACACAGTTCCTGGCACAGTAGATGCTTAACTCATTGTTGTGGGCTTAGTTTTATTTATCTCAATAGATCCCATCCATTTGCTTTTTATTAATTTATTTTTTTAAAAATATTTATGCATATAATAGCTGGGGTGCAGACCAGAAGCGTGGAGGGGTGAGAGGGTTCACCAGAGATGGAGTAGGGAGCAGAACAGGCAGACTGACTGAAATACGCTGCTGAGGGGAGCATTGGGCAAGTCAGGAGAGGTCTGCTGTGCCATGTGGGTTGCTCCCTGGCTGGGGATTGAACTTGTGGACAGCTTCATAGGTTGTGTCTCAACCTGTTGTGCCACCAGGGAGGTCCATGCTTTTTATTAATTTCTTAGTGTGGGAGAAGTGGAAGTCTCAATTGTGGGGCAGAAGCTATTTTGCTGGTGATGGTAGCTTTTATAAACCATAAATTTGAGTTCTAATTTGAACTGAAGCTTAGAGTTGAAATTTGAGTCTATGGTTCTTCCAGTAATTGGTCTACACACTTTGTAACAGAGTATCCAAAGTGGTGCTAGCGCTTCGTGTATTACTTCCTAGATCTCCTGGTTCTGTTGTCCGTCCTTACTGAGTGTCATCATGTCTTTAAATCTGCCTTGTTAACTGTGACTTTGGAGTCATCCAAACTCCCCCACCCCCTCTCCACAGTTGTGCTATCCCTGCCCTCCCCCACAGTATCCATGGGACCTTTACTAGGTTGTTACTGCTGTTGTTCTGTCTGACAGCCATTTAATTTTTATTTTTTTTTTTCTTGGATTGATTTTATAATTTACTTGTTCAAGGCTTACAATAGCAGCGCTTGGGGAAAAGCTGAACGATTACTGGAATGAGATGAAAGTGAAGAAAAATTCAGAATATCCTCTCAGTTTGCCAGTTGAAGATATACAGTAAGTACATTAAAAATGCATCAACCCCTCCTGATATCAAGATGTGATATTAGAGGGTATTATGATTGTAAAGGTGTTTACAAACTTTTGACTAACCCATAGTAAGGAATAAATTCTATAACTTGAATGAACACACTGTAAAATGAATGAGTGTGTGTGTGTGTGTGTGTGTGTGTGTTTGTAGATACAATACGCACAAAAGATTCATGAAATGGTTTTTTTGGGTTTTTTTGGTGATACTGCTATTTATTTATTTTTATTTTTTATATCATTGTTCATTTTTGTACAATATTTGATTTCTCCTCTTAGGTATAGTCCCAATAATTCTCCTACCACCGCAGCACCCATGAACCATCACCATACTCTGTGTTCTTCCCTTCCCTGTTATGACCTTTCTCCCTGAATTTGTCAAATTTTTATCTAATTTTGGGAAACTGAGTAATTTATGTAATCCATAGCAGTTGTTCCAAGAACTATTCCAAATTGAACTGTGGTCATTTGCCAAAAAAGAACAGAGACAAATATTCTCACCACTTGAAACTACTAGAGTTTGTCTGTCAAGTGATTATCAAAGTATAGATCAATTGAATCAGAGTTTTCTGAAATGTACATTCATGAATTCTACCTGGACCTAGGAAATCAGAATTTCTTTAGATAATATAGGACAATTTGCATTTTAATAAGCACCATGATTAATTATATAACCTAAAGTTTGAGCACTAATAATGTACTTTGTATCTGCAGCTAGTGATTTGATTGCTGCCCAGGCTTGGCCCTGGAATTGTAATTATGTTAACTAATAATATAAGAAAAATTTTCATCTCTCTAATCACTGGAATTTACAGTGATTAAAGTAAATCAAAATTATAGTTTTGATTTCTTTATGTTTAGAAATCCCAAATGTTGTAGTGAAATAGCATTTACATACCTATATGTTTCATGTTAAATCATTTTTTTAAAAGATTTATTTATTTATGCATATGAAAACTGGGGTACAGGCCAGAAGTGTTGGGGGGGGGTGAGAGGATTTCACCCAGAGAAGAGCGGGGAACAGAACAGGCAGACTGACTGAAATACACTGCTGTGGGGAGCAGTGGGGAGACAGGAGAGGTCTGCTGCGCCATGTGGGTCAGCTCCCTGGCCGGCTGGGGATCGAACATGTGCCGTGCTGCAGTAGCTTCGGATAGCTTCACAGTGCTGTGCTTAACCCCTTGTGCCACCAGGGAGGCCTACATGCACATATTTTTGAACTTATAGTTTATTGAAGTAACATCTCATGTTATATGTGTTTCAGATGTACATCATTATAGACTTCTGCATGTACTACATTAAGTTCACTACTAAAGTTAGCCTTTTATAAACTTCCATTTTTGCATGTGTAAAATAGGAACATTAATAACACTTAACTTTTAGAGTTTTAGAGTTACAAGAATTAAATGATGCCTGACAAGTACTCAGTAACACATAGCATGTAGTAACAATGCTGAATGAATAGTAACTACTGATAGAAAGGTGTCCAGGATATAGGATGAAAAATTAAGAGATGCATGTCAGGGAATGAATTTCCCATTGTATTTTTTTTAATAGTCCGAGGGCTTTATTTTTTCCACCCCTATCAGCCATGACTTCATAGGGAATGGGTTCTAGCAGCTCAGGCTCTTTCCATGGGTTCTTACACAGAGAGGGTCTTTGGAGGGATCAGGCTGGCACTTCAGTGGAACCCAAGTACCTTTGCTTTGACTTCATTTTTTTCTGATCATTTTCTTTGACACATTTCAGGAAATGATCTCAGCTCTTAGAGTGCTTCATATGCTGAACACAATATTAATTCTCTTGGCAAGAATTTTGCCTTTGACTTGTTTACAACAATGCCAACTGCATGCTGGGTAACATTGTAGATACTCCTGTGTTGTCATGGTAACATTTGTGGGGTCTTCCTTTGTGAATAGTGCCCATCCTTTGGCATCCACAATATCACCTTTCTTTTGGATTCTTGTGGATGTGGGCCGACGAACAACTCCACTTTTTCTAAAAGGCATGGAAACATAGGGCGGGTGCCTCTCTCCTTGCCTTGTGTTGAAGATGACTAGTGATTCCTTGAAGATGGCAGATCCGGCATTGTACTGTTTGTTAAAGTATACATATATACATGCAGACTTCTGTAATCATAGAAAACTATTGCCAGGATTTTTAAAATTGGCAGTCATAATTGAAGATATAAATCTGTATTTATTTTGTGAATGTCTGAATTGTTTGAAATTTTACACATTTGGGTTTTTTTTGTTGTTGTTGTTGTTGTTTTATTTTTTTGTTTTTTTGTGGGACCCTCGCCGAGGGCCAGGGATCGAACTGGCGCTGCAGAGGCTGCAGGCAGCCTCGCAACCCAGCGCTCAACCGCTGTGCCACCAGGGGAGGCCCTATACATCTTTTTTTTTTAACTGATTTAAAAAGTTATTGGCATTCAAGTAAAGTTTTAGGAAAATGATTCTACATAAACTGTTAATAGGGTCACTAATTCTCAAAGGTAAGAAGATAACAGCATTTTATAAACCAAAAACATACAAATTTTAGTTACTGAGAGATATGCTATATAATAGAGATTAAATTTAATAAAATTAAATTGGCTTAAATTACAGTAATACAACTCATCTATTTTCTATAATTAAGAAAATAAAAGATACTAGATTTGACATTGCATATGCTGACAGTATAAATTGCAGAGCAAGGCATTTATAATAATTTCAGTTTTTGCTACCAGAACAAATTTAATGGCATGCTCTATAAAATACTTTGTTTTAAATGGGTCTATCACTGTTAACCTTTGAAGTTAACCAAATGGTTTTTAAAACTTAAATTGCTCAACAGAAGTTTTCAGGGATAGGATTAAATAATAGGAAGCATTTTGTGATACAAATTATATAAAAAAATCTGATGAGATGCTTAGTTCCAACTTTCCATGCTAACGCTTTGTTATTTTGTTAACAGGAAAAGTCCTGATCAGACATGGGTTCAATGTGATTCCTGTCTAAAGTGGCGAAAGTTACCAGATGGGATAGATCAACTTCCAGAAAAATGGTATTGCTTCAATAACCCTGACCCACAGTTCAGGTACCATCTAGTTGGTAGTGCCCTTTTTGGAAAGGCAGAAAGTACTGTTCAGGATATATGAGCAGGCGCTGGTGACATTTATTTCCATGTGATTTTTTGACTAGAAATTGTGATGTTCCAGAAGAACCTGAAGATGAAGATTTGGTGCATCCCACTTATGAAAAAACCTACAAAAAGAAGTGAGTGTCTATTACTGTGTGGTGGGCAAATAATGCCCAGATTGTGAACAGTGAACAGGATGGGTATTCGGTGTTAGTTAACGCTTCTCCAAGTTACAACCATAGGAAGATTATGACCCAAAAAAAAAAAAGATTTATGGTATGGAATGCATACCATCAAGTTTTATTTTGTTTTTAAAGTTTGTATGGGGGTGCCTGCTGTTTTTTCGCCCAATACTTAGTGTTCTTCTAGCTATAAGACTCTGCCAAATGAGTAATTGTCTTTTGGGACCACACACAGAAGAGTCATAAGTGAATTGAATACTGCCCTTCATGAACTTGTAGTCTAAGACTTGTGTCCATTACCAATTAGAAGTTCATGTGCATCACCAAAGGCACAGTCCATAAAGCCCAGAAGGAGAGATTACTTTGCCTGGAAATGGGGAGGGCTGAAGTGGAAAACTCAGGAGGGACATTTTTGTTACAGCCTTGAAAGATGCATAGGATGGAAATATACAGGGAACAGGGATATATTGAGCTTGACTAGAATACACATGTGAAAGGGCATAATGGAAAATGGATGCGGGATAAATAAGATGTGTAATGATTGTCAGCCATGGAGAAGTGGATGCTAATTACTGCACACAGCAGGCCGAGTTCACTGAGAATCTTCCAGATGGTATTGATTTGTAGTGCATGGTTTTTAAAAATAAATCCAGCAGCAGGACTGTAAGTAAGGAAACAAGTTGGAAACCTGTGTGATTCCCAGTTCAAAGGTCTGAGAATAGTGCCTTTGAGGATGGGAAGCTTCAGGCAGACATTAGGGGTTTATTGAGGTGAAAGGTGGAGCGTAATGCTTACTGCTGCTGCTGATGCAGGAAAAGCAGAGGTTGGTGTGCTGAGTTGTGAAATGGCAGGTATGTCATGGGAAAATGGGATTGAAAAGGAATAATGAAGCAAATATAAATATGTTCATTTTTTATCTTTTTTTTTCTTTAAAGAGACAAGGAAAAATTAAGGATCAGACAACTGGAAGTGATCCCTCGGGTAATTAAACCTTTCACTTTATAGCCATGTATTGGACAGCAACTTCTCACTTAACATCTTTTATAAGTTTTTGGAAACTGCAGCTTTATGCAAATGATGTCTAACAAAATTAGGTCCTTACATTCTGTTAACGTGGACTGGTTTTTTTTCTCTCACCAATGTTTTAACTAAAGACTATGAGTAAAAAATCTCCTTATTTGAGCACCTGCTATGTTGGATAGTGGTTAGTTTAGCAACTGCAAGTTCAAGCTTAGAAGTTCCACTCATGAAGTGATCTTGTTCACTAAGTTTACAGTCCCTCACTCCTGTCCCTCCTTCCCAACCCTGACTTCTGACCCCACCAGCTTCATTTAGTCTCTTTGATTTTACCCTTTATTTGGGCATCTTCTGAGGAAAGGCAGCTATTCTTTTAAGAATCTTACAGTCACGGGCCTCCCTGGTGGCACAGGGGTTAAACTCTCAGCGTTTCAAGCTATCACCAGCAACTGCAGCCTGAGTTCGATCCTCGGCCAGGGAACTGACTCATGGTGCAGCAGACCCCTCCTGTCTCCCCGCTGCTCCCCTTAGTATATTTCAGTTGATCCGCCTGTTCTGCTCTTCACTCTGTCTCTGGTGAATCCTCTCACCCCCTAGTCTACACCCCAGTTCTTGTGTGCATTGATAAATAAAAATAAATGTTTTAAAAAAGAATCTTACAGTCAGTTAGGCAGTCAAGGAAAAATGCACAGTGCACACCGGGGGCCTTGTCCCAGTGCTCACCTGGACCAGAGCTGTGTGGTCCAGAGAGAAGGAAGTATTTGTCTTCCTGACTGGGTAATTGTGCTTCTTGTATAAGAAGTTCTGGTCTGCTCCAGATGCATGTGTTTGTTTATAACTACATGGAGGTGTTTTCTTGCATAATAGCTAAGGACCTGTGGTGAGAGCAGAACTGGGGAAAAAAGAACAGTGGACTTCCTTTGGTATTTAAAGACAGTCCTTTGTTATCTTCAATTGCTTTCTCTTAGAAAAACTAAGTTTTTATTATATCTTAATTAGTCCTTTATATAGTTCAGGATCAGCAGATCTTTCTGATAAAGGCTGATTAGTAAATTTTTTTAAAGATTTATTTATTATGTCTACAAGAGCTGGGGTACAGGCCAGAGGTGTTGGGGGGGGGCGGTGGTGGGTGAAAGGATTCACCAGAGACAGAGCGGGGAACAAAACAGACAGACTGACGAAATACACTGCTGAGGGGAGCAGCAGGTGGCAGGAGAGGTCTGCGCACCATGTGGGACCCTCGCCTGGCGGCCAGGGATCGAACTGGCACTGCAGAGGCTGCAGGCAGCTTCGCAGCCCAGCATTCAACTGCTGCGCCACCAGGGAGGCCCCCCAGTAAATTTTTTTTTTTAAGATCTATTTATGCATATAAAGCTGGGATGTAGGCCAGTGGTACAGGGGGTGAGAGGATTCACCAGAGACAGAGTGGGGAGCAGAACAGGCGGAATGACTGAAATACGCTGCTGAGGGGAGCAGCAGGCAAGTCAGGAGAGGTCTGCTGTGCCATGTAGGTCAGCTCCCTGGCTGGGGATCAAACTCTATCTGCAGTGGTTGCAGATTGCTTCATAGTGCTGATGCTTAACCTCTTGTGCCACCAGGGAGGCCTCTGGTTAGTAAATATTTGAGATTTTGGGGGCAACATACGGTTTCTGCTGCATAGCCTTTGTTAGTTTATTTTGTTTTGTTCATACTTTTAAATATAAACGTAGGGCCTCCCTGGTGGGGGTTAAAGTCTCACCATTCTTTCTTTTTAAGATTTATTTATTTATTTATACATGCACTGGGTACAGTCAGAAGCGCGGGAGGGTGAGAGAATTCGCCAGAGCGGGGAGCAGAGCAGGCAGAAGGACTGAAGTACACTGCTGAGGGGAGTAACGGGCAGCAGGAGAGGTCTGTGCGCCATGTGGGACCCTCCTCCGGTGGCCGGGGAGCAGCCGGGGATTGAACTGGCGCTGCAGAGGCCACGGGCAGCTTCGCAACCCGGCGCTCAACCGCTGCGCCACTGGGGAGGCCCGAAAGTCTCACCATTCTGATCAGTAACTATTGCGGCAAGAATTCAATCCCTGGCTAGGGAGCTAACCCACATGGCGCAGCAGACCTCTCCTGTCTCCCCCTACTCCTCTCAGCAGTGTATTTCAGTAGATCCCTCTGTCTCTGGTGAATCTTCTGACCACCCCCTGCTGTGGCCTGTACCCCAGCTCTTGTATGCATAAATAGATAAAAAATAAAATCTTTTTTTAAAAAAGTAAGCCCAGTCTTGGGCTCTCACCACAGGTCCTCACTTGTAGACTGGACGTGGCTCACTGACCTGTTTGTTGCTCCCGGGTATGGCATAGGAATGTATGAATTGATAGTAGTGCTCAGTGTTTACTGATTGCAGGGAAAATAATAGCTGTGTTTGGCATGTCACATTAAAATTATTAAACTAGATCGGGCTTTTTTATCCTCCAACAGATTAATATTGACCAATTTCGAACAACCCCTATGTCAAGTCAAAACTTTTTGCCTTTGAAGGAAAGTGTTCCAAGAGGACACCCTTCAGAAACACCAAGTACTTACACAACAAGACTTATAAATAATCATCGAGTTTCCTCCCAGTCTGAACCTGAGAACAACAGGTAAGTGGCTAAAATGGGTTTTTCCATTTGGGGAATGAATAATAAACAGCTTTTAGTTGGCACTTCTGGGGCAGTAATGCAGTTCTAGGAAACTGGTTTACATGCATGTAGAAGTCTTAGGTACAAGTTACTCTGCTTTTATTATCTAAATCCCACCTTTCATTTATGCCTCCTGAAATAAATTTTTAAACTATTAATTGTATTCATTGTGGAATTTGATCAGGTTATCACTTCTTTGAAATTCTGTATAGTATGAAAATTACTGTTAAGATGATCAGAACTCAAAGATAAACATGAAGCAATTAACAGTAAATACTGATGTCAAGTGTTTGGCCTCTGGGTTCTTAGTCTCACCCTTAGCACTGCTTTGGTATTTAAAGACAGTGCCTTTGTTGTGTGTTTTGGGTGAGTGGATGAAGAAGAAAAAGTCTGAGTGATATGTGAATTGAATAGTTAGCCCTTTTGACGGGGATGGACAGGGAAGGCTTTGTGATGAGGTGATATTGCGTTGGTTCCTGAAATTCTGCGAGTATTAGTGGCCTGTTCCAGGGTACTGCAGTGGACACCAGTGATGAAGAGCGTGCTCTCAGAAAGCTGGTAGCCCAGACTGGCTCCATCTGATGTTTGTTATTGAAGGAAACATTGAAACAAGCTTCTTGGGGATAGTGGACCAGATTTTCTGAAAGATTTAGTAGCCTTCGTCAAATTTTTTGGGAACTTTTGACCTCAGAAAAGATTAGAAATAACTGCCTTTATATGTACATATATTCAAGGAGGGCATATTCTAAAGTAGTTTGATTTTTATAGCATGCATTTTGGGGACTCTTTTGGGCTGGTTTGCTACTTAATTAAGAACTTGTGTAATTTTTTTTTAAACAAGTCTCAGTATTTTTTGGCTTTTTTTTTTTTTAAAGATGGCACCAAAGTTAAAAAAAGTAAAATCTATAATATATAAGACAAAAAGTAATGGATTTTTTTTTTTACGTGACTAACATCAAATTGAAGAAGAGTATAAAGGAATTTTTCACTAAAAGTTTTTACAGTCTTTATTCTCAAGTTCCTGATGCCAGAGTCTGGAAAGGTAGTGTCTGAACTAAGTCTTGAGGAGGACAAGTAGGAACTAGCCTGGTATCAAAAACAACAGGGAATTCCCAATGAAATGATGAACTCCCCACGCTCCCAGTCTCAGAATTTTGAAGCATTTGGTGCTTCTGAAGGTGGAAGTCAAATTTTTTATGTAATGTATATTTTACTGAAATAACATTATAGTATAGCAATACCATTTTTTAAAAAAGCAAAGATTTCTTTGAATTTCAAGATAGGTCACTTCAAGTTTGACTATTTTGTCCATAGCTTACAATTGCTTACAATTGTTTTATGTGTAAAATATTTTCTAGCCTAAAACGAAGACTTCCTATTCGTTCCTCAATTTTGAATGCAAAGAATCGGAGATTGAGTAATCAAGCATTTGAAAATTCAACTTATAAGGAAGAAGATGATGATGATGAAGATGTCATCATCTTAGAAGAAAACAGTACTCCCAAGCCTGCTATAGATCATGATGTTGAAGTGAAAGCAGAACAGAGTCAAGTGGAGCAAAGTGGTATTGTGGTCGAGCCGGGGTCTGATAACGAACCCCGTGGCCAGACCAGTTCAGTGGGCACCTCGGCCTCCAGGTGTGATCAGGGGACAACTGCAGCCACCCAGACTGAAGTACCGAGTTTAGTTGTTAAAAAGGAAGAGACTGTTGAAGATGAGATCGATGCAAGGAACCATGCGTCTGTCCTGCCGTCCTGTGGAGAAGCTGAGGTGAAGACACACGAGGCCAAGGAAACCTTGGATAAATCTGGGGGTGACTGCCAGTTAAACGAACTGAAAAGTGAGCTACTTCTAGTTACCCAAGAAAAAGAAAATTATAAAAGACAGTGTCAGGTGTTTACTGATCAAATCAAAGTGTTACAACAGAAAATAGCAGACATGAACGACAAATTTGTGAAGAAGGAAACTTGCCACCAGTCTACTGAAACCGATGCTGTGTTTTTACTCGAAAGTATTAATGGCAAATCTGAAAGCACAGACCACATAGTGTCGCAATATCAGCAAGCTTTGGAAGAAATAGAGAAGCTGAAAAAGCAGTGCAGTGCTTTGCAGCATGTGAAGGCTGAGTGCAGTCAGTGTTCTAGCAGCGAGAGTAAAAGTGAAATGGATGAAATGGTTGTACAGCTGGATGACGTGTTTAGACAGCTGGACAAATGCACTGTTGAGCGGGACCGGTATAAACACGAGGTGAGTTCCGTCTTCAGTGTGGCCATGGCAGTCTGGGGCATTTCCACAGACTGGACAAAGTTTGCCTAATATTTCCTACTCACTGTGTATTACTCAACTGCTTTTCAGAGGGGGATTGGTCTTCCTGGGGGCATATTGAAACTTATGGGCATCTAGGCACAATTTTTGGTTGTTAAAATGTCTTAGAAGATGCGTATTTGATGGGCAGTGACCAGATTTGGTGAATGTTCTGCATTGCACAGGGCATTGCCGTGCAAGAAGGGATGTCCGGCTTAAAATATCAGTGCCAGCCCTGTTGAGACACTCGGTTACTCATGCTAGTGGAGACAGTACATCCAGTTGTAAGCCCCGTACGAGTAGGAATGGCATTCTTACTTCATAGGTAGACCTCGCGTTAGTTGCGAGTAGTTTCATGTGCAGGTGACATAAAACAAATGCCCATGTATCAGAGATGCGGGCTCCCTCATCGTTGCTTTGCTTCTCAACGTGTAGTTGTGTCCTGCGATGGTGGTTCAGGTCCAGCCATCGCTTACCCTACATTCCAAACAGCAAGAAAGGGGGGTGTAGTTTCTGAAAGTTCTTGTGTTCATCATCTGTTGGAAATTAGTCAGTTGGCTCATGGGAGCCCAGGGAAATTGGTCTTAATTCAGGGGTTCTTTCACAGAGGAAGGAGGAGGAGAACCTAGATGTCAGGCGACCAGAAGTGGCCTCTCCCTCCATATGCCCCCGCTTCAAATTTGGGGAGGTTTTTCTTTTAAAAAAGTCTTATGTATTCATGGGGTACTTGAAAGGAGTTTTCCTGCTAAAAGAGTTTGGAAATGATAGTAAGGTCTCTATTCTTGGCAATTTTGTTGATGGAACTGCTTTTATTCAGATATTGATCTTGATGCATTGGCTCATGAACTAGATAGCAAAATATCTAAAAATCAGCCTAAGTAAACTATTATAACTTATAGCAGGTGATTGTGCAAGAAATGAAAGCTATTGGATGTCACCATAATTTAGGCGTTTGTCCCGGGTTTTCAGTTTTTAAATACCACTTGGTTTTATTCAAGTGATAGTTAACATTTTATATTCTTCGGTGTCAAAAGATGTAAAAAGGTAGACCTCAAAGCAAGTGAAGTTTTATTTATATTTGGCTATTGGGGATTTTTTTGGTTTGGTTGCTCTTTTGTCTTGATGGTCAGCCATTTTAATCACAATTATTACCTTAAATTTGAACTTTGACATTAGTATTTTTTAGTTTTGGAGTTATAAAATTAATTTTTTTGTAGGTTGAATTATTGGAGATGGAAAAATCGCAAATCCGTTCAAAGTGTGAGGAACTGAAAACTGAAATTGAACAATTAAAATCGACAAGTCAACAGATAGGACCAGATGTGTCAACTTCAAGTAATGTTGAGGAGTCTGTAAATTTTGCTGATGGGGAAAGGTAATATTACATGACGCATTTCCCTGGGGCTGCAGTTCTGGCTCCTGTGACACTTATTTGCTGGCACACATGAAATAGCTGTTGTTCTATCAAAAGACGTCATTATCTGCGGTGATCCTGACATGACAGGCAGGAAATAGAGAAGTACATTCCGCTGTCGTTCCCTCAGGGAGCTCTGGTTTAGGGACGGCTTCAGTGAAACAGGAATTTGGAAGAACAAAACACTAGGTTGGTCAAGGTGGTTTGGAATGCTTTTTGGGGAAATGTGAAAATGGAGCCAGATATTGAAAAATGGGGTGAATTTGGCATGACTTGAAGACAAGAAACTATTACAGGAAACTTAAGTTTTCATCTTCATTTCTTTACCTTTGTACTCGGCACCATTTCTTTATGTTTTGCTCTTTGTTTCTCTGTGTGCCTTCCCAGTCTTCACTTTTAGGAAATCACAAAATTACTGAGAATTGCCAGAGTACAGGTGACTATTAAGAAGGAGTTTTTCTGAGAAAATCAGAAAACTTAATGATTACCCTATCAGTAAGATATAAAGTGTGCTAGTGGCTCTATTTTGATTTTTGCTTTTGCTGATGGGAGAGTGAATGACACTGACATGTTGATGACTTGCATTCACAAGCAGTCATTAAGAGCGAGGGTTTATAATATTCTACCTGCTAATATGTTACAAACTGAGACCTGAAGGTACTGGCGATGGGAAATGCTCTACTGTCCTCACTAGACATTGTTTTTTAGCTTAAGTTTTTAAAGAATTTCATTAAATCTGTTATGGAAATTGAATCGAGCAGTACATATAAACATTGGAGTGCAGGAGGTTACTCTCAGTACTATCGGGCTGTCTCTAGCCCCTGCAGCAGGAGCTCTGTCTCTGGCCAGGGAGGTGACCCACATGGCGCAGCAGACCTCTCCTGTCTTGCCCGCTCCTCCCCTCAGCAGTGTATTTCAGTACATTTGTCTGTTCTCCCCTCTCTGTTACTGGTGAATCCTCTCACCCCCCACACCTCCGGCTCACACCCCAGTTCTTGTATGCAAAAATAAATAAATCTTTTAGAAAGAGATCCTTGCCAGGGTTCGAGCTTGTGCTTCACTGGCTACCAATAGCTTGATAGTGTGCTGAGACAACCCCTTGCAGACCCCTGCTTCAGTGGTCTTTGACATGAAAGCAACTGTTTGGTTGTAGGTATTTGAAGTTCAGATATGTACATTTAAACTTGGAAGGAAAGATAATGGTCATCGAATCCATAGTTTCCCAGTGTTTGCACCAAACATGTTTGTTCCCTTTACCTGGTAATACAGTAGCTAGGTGTGAGCGTCAGTACGTTGTAGGTTCAAAGAAGTTCTGCATTTTTTTTTTTTTTAGAGATATTTATTTATGTATACAAGAGCTGGGGTACAGGCCAGAGGTGTGGGATTGGGGGTGAGAGGATTCACCAGAGATTAGAGTGGGGAGCAGAACAGGCAGATCTACTGAAATACACTGCTGAGGGGACAGGAGAGGTCTGCTGTGCCATGTGGGTCAGCTCCATGGCCATGTGGGTAGCTCCCCGGCCGGGGATAGAACTGAACTCGTGCTGCAGTAGCTGCGGCTATCTTCGTAGGTTGCGTCTTAACCCCTAGCGCCACCAGGGAGGCCCTGAGTCTATATATTATCGAAGATTTTATCTACACTTTACTTAGATTTTAAATTTTACGTGAATGTTAAGCTGTATTATAATGCCGATCTAATTAGTGTAATGTTTTTATTTGCAGCCTTAAACTTCGATCTCTTCGAGTTAACGTGGGACAGCTGCTGGCCATGATTGTACCTGATCTCGACCTTCAGCAAGTGAACTATGATGTTGACGTAGTTGATGAGATTTTAGGACAAGTTGTTGAACAAATGAGTGAAATCAGTAGTACTTAAAGTCTATTTTCTGTGAGATAATAAAAATTTATTTACTCGATCCTTTTGGTTGTACAGCTTTCAAAATGTAAACAATGTTGTTTTATAGATAGGGTAAGTAAGACTGAAGAACCAGGATCTTTACTGTATTCTATGCATCCAGGTGTGGCTCCGAGTACTGTGGACACATCACCACACTTTTTGAAATAGCTGCGAATCTCTGGTTTTCAGCAGCTGAATAGCTAACTCCTGATTGTTTTAAAATGTAAATATTTGTAATTAAGTCTGCACATATTTTTTTATTACCCTGGAGGACCTGTGTTTTTCACCAAGAGCTTTTCAGGTGCCCCTAACCTTTGTGCAATCTTTTCTGGTTCCCCAAAATGTATTTTTCTCAGACTTGAGGACTGTGCCATAAATACAAATGGAAATGTTACCTTTGATTTTCTTACCGAGAAGTTTAAACAGGATTTTTTAAAAATGTAATGACTCTTGATAAGCTAAGTTGTAATTGAATTGAGCTTTAGTGTTTGTTTTCTATGAATCCTATCTCTGAAATATTTTATTCATAAAAATAAGGTATTAAGAAATTGACTCCATTCATTTTGCCAGGATTTTTCTTGTGCTGAGATTGCCAATCATGGTTAAACACAAAGTGTTTTTATAGAACAAAGAATGAATCTTTAGTATTAAAAAAAAGTGTGAAAAATACTGAATGTCCCACATTTGCTTTGAAACCCATTTTTAGCTGCTTAGTCAGCATGGAGTGGGCACAATAATTGTTTGATATTTCTTTTTGTGAAATTTCCTGTACAGCCTTTTGTAGGATTACTACAGGTAATTGTGAGTTGAGGAAGACAATCTTTCTCTAACAATATTGCATACCTTTTATTATAATGCAGACCTGAGTGTTTCACATCCTGGAGTGAAGCAAAAAACTGTCCTAGGATTATAGTATTACCTGCCATAAAATGTCTACTTCATTGGTCCCATGTTTCGTGCAATTTTAAAGAGATGGCTTTTATTAAGTATAACTATGTATATAATTAAGAATCGTATTTTCCATAACTAAAATGTTTATTATTTTTTCAAAGTTTTATCATTACTATTTATTTTTACTTTTGTTTCTGAATATTCAGTACATGTTCCTTTTGTATGTATCGTTAATTACATGTCTGTCATATACAATTTAAAATTTTTACTGTACATTAACTGCTAGAGGAAGCAAATAAATGAGGATTGGTTTTATTTGCTTGATAAAGTAATTGAAGGTATTTTTGGTATGAAGCTGGTTTTCTGTCTCAATTGTACCTGCCCCAAATTTAAAACATCTTGTAATAAAAATATATCTATATGATGGCTAGCTCTTCAGATATTACTTGCAAAGAAGTTTATTCAAATTATATTTTGGAAACTGAAATGAGGTCCATTAGACCTTCCAGCTAAGCTCATTTTGCTATATTAATTATTGGTTATATTTAGAAGACTAAACTAAGGCTTTCTCAGACAGTGCTACAGCAGTGTTACAGAGCAAGGTCAAAGGGCCGCGACAAGGCAGGAGGCCAGGCTGCTGTCTGTGGGTTCTCACTGAGTGCAGAATTGCAACCGCTTGGGTTCAAGGAACAACAAAAAGGTTTATATAACAAATGGGACACAACTGTTCCTAAGGCCACAACAGGCCAGCAGTCTCACCTTGGATGGTGTCCACAGTGTCCAGAAGTCCCAAACAAAAGCTGCTCGTGCATGATGGTGCTGTCCCATCAACGAGGACCTGGAGCTCGTGGCATGCCCCCAAGCAGTAAGCCAGCATCCAACTCACGTGGCAGCTGGAGGTGCTCACAGGTGTGGCAGCTGAGATGGCAACGCGCAGCCACAGCAAGTCTGTAGGCTGGTCTGCATAGCCCCAGAGGCTGAGCCCAGCAGTCATGAGGGCACCAGTGCCGGGAGGCAGTGTCGGATGATCTGAAGCAGTGTCAGATCTTAGGTCACCCAGACACACAATGTTGGGCACCATCAGTCACCAGGAGGCGGCGTCAGAGACACCATTATTAACAGCTCTGTGAGCCGTTGGCCTACAAAGGCCAGCAACCCTGAGACAGCAGGTGGGGCCTATGGTGCTCCTTTCAGTCGCCTCAGAGGAGGCAGACGGTGGCAGCCAGGTCTTTTGCTTTTATACTTTTCTTCACAGGTCAGCTGTTGATGCTTCTTTCTTTGCAGGCCAGGATCAAAATTTCTAAGCTGGCTCCTGCCTGCCTTATGTCCTCTTTTAGCTTCCCCACCCTACAAGCCTAATTGGACTGTTTTTAATCCTAAGTGACTGATTGGACCATTTAGCACCAATCAGCTCATTCTTGTTTTTTAATCTGAATAGCTAATGAGCTTGGCTTGAACCTGACTGGTTCATTTAGCTTGCACCAGATTGTTCCATTCTGTGATCCAGGCGCCAAATATAAAAGGGTAATCTTGGTGCTGACATGGACCCTACTTTCCCTGACCTCAGGGCAGGCTCATGGGCTGGTGGGCTTCCGAGGAGCTGTGGCTGGAGGCACTGTGCGCCCAGTACCCGTTTAGTGGGGCCAGGTGGAACAATAATAGGTGGGGTGGGTGGGGGGAAAGTGCCTATTGCAGCACTGCACGGTTGCCTCCTGGCAGCGCACCATATTGGTTAGGATAGGCAAGGCCCTCTACTGCCTGCAGTTCCAGGGAGTGGCCACCCTGGAGCTGGCCCAGTGGGGCCTCTGGGCTTACTCTCACCTCTGTGGGGCTTGCTCAAGCACCGGGCCACCTTGCTACTGTAGCCCCAGTGGGGCTAAATGCCCTGGGGAAGCGTGTCAGGGAAACCACTGTCGCCTGTCTTCACTGCCAGCATGGCTGGCAACCTGAGCCCCATTGGCGTCACTGGCGGCGGGGGGTAAGATGCCTGCCACCCGCTATAGTTTGAGCTAACTCCAAGCAGCGTGCTTCTTGGAGCCCAAGGGGGATCTGCGAGCTGGCACTCAAACTGGGCCACTGCAGGAGAGGCCATCAAGCCTGGTCCCGTGAAGTGGGCCTCCATGCAGCCATCCTGCAGCCTCCTGCTGTAGGGCAGCCTGGATGTTAGTCCGAGGCAGGGCTCTGGGTGGCTGGTGGGAAACTTCTGCTGCCAGCAGCGCAGGGCTTGCTGGGGAGGGGCTGCCTGCAGGGAGCACGCTTCCAGGAGCAGTGAGAGCCCCCTCCACACCTGCCACACTGGCTGCTGCGTGCTTGGGGCAGCAGGGCAAGGAAACCATGGCTGCCCCTGACTCCAGACAGTACGAGTTTCATTCCCACTAGGACTCTGAGAAGTGGCTCCTCTTGAGAGAGGGTGTGGGTCTTCTACAGGCAAAAAGAAATGGTTTCTTTGTATCATCAATCTTTTAAGGCAATGTTGGGTAAATAGCACCTGTGAAGAGCATGTCTGCGTCTTAATATGTTGCAGTTCTTTCTGGAACTGGCTAACTTTCTGGTCAACTGTATTCTTGCAAAAATAGATTTTTTTATGTGACTGACTTTGTGGGAAGTTAAACATGATATTCAAAAGAGAAACTAGTTAAATTGATACTTTGGATAGATTTTTCACTTTTTAAAGAAGTACTGCCAAAATGTGGCTAACAGAGGACTCCCTGGTGGCGGAGGGGTTAAAGACAGCGCTATCAAGCTACTGCCAGCCACTGCAGCACGAATTCTATCTCCAGCCCTCCAGGGTGCTGCCCACATGGCACAGCAGACCTCTCCTGCCTTGCCCGCTGCTCCCCTCAGCAGTGGATTTCAGTGGATCCGCCTGTTCTGTTCCCCACTCTGTCTCTGGTGAATCCTCTCACCCCCAACACCTCTGGCTTACACCCCAGTTCTTGTATGCATAAATAAATCTTTTTTTAAAAAATGTGGCTAACAAATTTAATAACAAAAAAACGATGTAGGCACGTTTTCCTGGCATATATAATATTGAAGTAGAGATACCTGTTTTTATTAAGTTAAACTTGTAAAATGCTAAGTTGTGAGCATACTACTGTTTAAAGGAACATTTTTAAAACAAAATCAATGTGAGGAAATAAACAGAATAGTCTACAGCCCTACAAACGGCACTGCCGGACTAGTCGGCTAAGGCTCCAGAATGAGGACATGCCGAGTGGGCGGCCGTGTGGCAGATCCCGGTGTGGAGACGTAACCCCTTGCGCCACCAGGGAGGCCCTCATCTTTTGATAGTAAAAAATTTGCTACTGTGAACATTAATAAATACATACCACATGCTTTTCAAGTATATATTTCAAGAGTGTCAATACTACTTCTAGAGCTTTTTCATCACCTGAAACAAACACTGTACCACTGAGCAATAACTCCCCATTCTGCTCTCCCGATAATATCTACCTTCAGGCTACTGTGAACTTGCTTAATCTAACAATATAAGAGGAATTGCAGATATTTGTCTTTGTGTTTGTTTTTTTCCCACTCTCCCAGTTTTTTTAATTGGGTGGTTTGTTTTTTGTTGGGTGGCTGGAGGGCATTAAATGATTTGCAAATATTTTCTCCCACTTGGTCTTTACTCTTGATTGTGTCCTTTTATAGACCAGAGTTTTTAATTTTGGTGAAGTTCAATTTATTTTTCTTTTGTTGTACTGTTGGTATCATATCCAAGAAGTCATTGACTAATTCAATGTCATGACAGTTTTCCCCTGTTTTCTTCTAGGAGTTTTATAGATTTACCTCTTACATTTAGCTTAGCCCTTACATACTAGGTATCCATTTTGAGTTACCTTTGACTGTAATATAAGAGTCTAACTTCTTACATATTGATATCATTTCCCCAACATCACTTGTCGAAAAAGACTTTTCTTACACTGAGTGGTCATTCAACCCCGGTAAAAAGTGATCGGCCATGTATGTGAAGGTTTATTATTTTGGTTCACTGTTCCTTTGGTCTGTAAGCCTGATCTTCTGCCCCTTACCACACTGTTTTGATTATTATAGCTTTCTATTTAGTTTTGAAATAAAAAAGTATGAATCCTCCAACGTTGCTCTTTTTTCAAGATGGTTTTGATTATTCAGGGTCCCTTTAGACTCCATACGAATTCCCAGGTGGGTTTTTCTGTTTCTGCAAGACACACCGTTGAGATTTTGGATAGGAATTTCTTTGAATTTGTAGATCACTTTTGGCAGTATTGTTTTAACAATATTAAGTATTCCAACCCACAAAGGGGTCCTCCACTTATTTATATCTTTAATTCAGCAATGCTTTGTAGCTGTTCCTGTACGCATTATTTGCCTCTGCCTAAGTTTATGCCTAAGTGTGTTTTTTCCTTTAGAAGCTATTGTAATTGGAATTGTTTTCTCAATGCCCTTTTTGAATTGTTCATTGCTAGTGTTCAGAAATACAACTGATTTTTGTGTGACTCTATATCCTGAAATTTTGCTAAATTCATTTATTAACCATAACAGCTTTTGTGTCTGTAAACTAAGATTTTCTAGATAAGATGTTATCATCCGCAAAGAGATGATTTGACTTCTCCCCGTTCAATTTGGATATCTTTTTTAATTTTTATTTTTGCTTAACTGCTTTTGCTGTAATTGCCAAAACTGTGTTAAAGAGAAGTGGTGACATCTGGCACCCTTGTCTTGTTCCTGATCTTAGGGGGAAAGATTTCGGTCTTTAACCTTTAAGTATGATGTCAGATGTGGGGTTTTCATATATGACTTTTAGCATACATATTACCTTCTAGTCTGCGCTTTCTTTTAAACCATGAGTGTGTTGACATTTTTTGTTTTAAATTTTTTTTAAGATTTTTTTTTATACAAGAACTGGGGTACAGGACAGAGGCACGGGAGGGTGAGAGGATTCACCAGAGACAGAGTGGGGAGCAGAACAGGCAGACGGATGGACCAAAGGCACTGCTGAGGGGAGCAGCAGGCAAGACAGGAGAGGTCTGCAGCACCGTGTGGGTATCTCCCCGGCCGGCTGGGAATCAAACCTGTGCTCAGAGGCTGTGGACAGCTTCACAGCACGGTGCTCAACCACCTGCGCCACCGGGGAGGCCCTGTTGAATTTGTTAAGTGCCTTTTTGCATCAGTTGATGTGATCATGTGTTCCTTTCCCTGCCCCCATTCTTGTAGGTTGGATTACAATGATTGATTTTCTTATGTTAAACTTGCATTCCAGGTATAACTCCCTCTTGCTTATGGTGTGTAGTCCTTTTAATATATTGTTGAATTTGGTTTGCTAGAATCTTATCAATATTCATAATATTTACCTGTATTTTTCTTTTCTCGTTGTCTATCTTGTTTTGATATCAGGGAAATGCAGGCTTTATAGAATGGGTTATGGAGTATTTCCACTTTAATTTTGGGGAAGAGTTTGAGAAGGACTGGCATTAATTCTTAAAGGTTTGGTAAAATTCACCAAATTCTACCACACATCTATCTACACAGCCATCTGTCCAGGGCCTGCCTGTGTTGGAAGGTTATTAATTATTGAGTCACTTTACTTACCGGTATCAGGTCTATTCCGAATTTCTATTTCTTCATGATTTAGGTCATCCAATTTGCTGGCATACACACGTTCACAGGATCCTCTTTTTATAAACATAATCCTCTTTCATTTCGCCAGTATCAGTAGTAAATGGCTTCACTTTTTCCTGATTTTAGTAATTTGAGTATTCTTTGTTTCTTGGTCGATTTTGTGAAAGGTTTGTCAGTTCTGTTGATGTTTTCAAAGAACCAGGTCTGGGCTCTGTTGATTTTCTCTATTGTTTTTCTATTCTCTATTGCCTCTCGCATATTTTGAAGCAAATTCTAAACATTCTATAACTTCACTTGTAAATAATTTAGGATTGCCTCTAAAATATGAACATTTAAAAATCATTAAATATTTAAAGAGCATTTAAAAACAAAAGAATCATTGCTATACCATTAAAAATAGGTTCAATAATATCGAATCTAGTCAGTGTTCAAATTTCTCTGGTCATTTCATAATTACTTTTCCAGCTGGAGTGTCCAAAGTCGCATCCAAACAAGGGCTGGTAGCCAGGTCCCAGCAGGACCCCCTTCTGCTGTTCTCTTCCTTTTGTTTTCACTTGTTAAAGTCCGCGGCAGCTCGGCCCCTCTTCGCCAGGGTGCCCAGGGCCCCAGCAGTGGCCCCAGCAGAGGCGCGCCAGGTGTTCACTGAAGGTGCTCACCGGGCGGGAGCGCCTGCGGGAAGCACCTGCCGAGCTCACTCACCCCCCCGCGGGCGCTGGCGTCTGGCAGGAACCGGGCCCGGGAGCCCCGCCCACCAGGAGGCGGAGCCCGGGAGCCTCGCCCACCAGGAGGCGGACCTCCAGGAGTCCCGCCCACTAGGAGGCGGAGCCGGAGTCCCGCCCACCAGGAGGCGGACCTCCAGGAGTCCCGCCCACCAGGAGGCGGAGCTGGAATCCCGCCCACCAGGAGGCGGACCTCCAGGAGTCCCGCCCACCAGGGGGCGGAGCCGGAGTCCCGCCCAGCAGGGGGCGGAGCCGGGAGTCCCGCCCAGCGGGGGCGGGGCCTGCGGCGCGCGGGAACCGGCGCGGCGCGGCGGCGGGCGGCAGGTACGGGGGGTTCCCGGGTTCCCGGGCGCCGCCGCGGGCGCGTCCCGGATCGCGCGGGGCCGGGGCGGGAGGCGCGCGCCGAGGCCGGGCCGCAGGGCCCGGGGGCGCCCCGGCGCGGGCCGCGCTCGGGCGGGCGGTCTCCGGGCGGGCGGTCTCGGGCCGAGCGCCGCGTCTCCGGCGTCCGGGTGGGGGAGGGGCCCGTCTCGGCCCCGGGCCCCCCGCTGGGAAGTGGGGCTCCCTGCGGCCGACCCTCCGCGGGCAGCCCTTCCCCCGCGGCCGCTTTCTCGGAGCAGACCCCGGGGCGGCCCTCCCCCGGGGGGCGCCCTGGAAAGCGGGGTCGCCCCGCGGCCCGACCTCCTCTCCCGCGGCCCCCCTCGGCGGCCCCCCTCGGCGGCGGCTCCCCGTGCCGCGCCCCGGGCCCCCCCCCCCGGGCGGCCGCTCCCCGGGCGGCGGCCCCGGCCATGAGGCGCCCCCAGACCTTCCCGCGGGCGCGGGGCGCTCGGTGGCCTCCGGGTGGGGCTCGCCTTCCGGGCGCGCGTCTTGGGGGGCCCTCCCCCCCCTCACGCGGGCGCCCCCTCTCCCCCGCAGCGGCTGGGCCGCGAGGATGAAGGTCATCACGTGCGAGATCGCCTGGCACAACAAGGAGCCGGTGTACAGCCTGGACTTCCAGCCCGGCCCGGCCGGGAGGACGCACCGCCTGGCCTCGGCGGGCGTGGACACCGCGGTCCGGGTGAGCGGGCGCCCGGCTGGGCCTCTCCCCGGGTCGTGTCCCTAGATTGTTGCAGCTGGAGGCGACATTTCGGAATGCAAGTCCGGGGCCTCCCTGGTGGCGCAAGGGGTTCGCCTCAGCGCCCTCAGGCTGTCCCCAGCCCCTGCAGCACGAGTTCGATCCCCTCCCCGGCCAGGGAGCTACCCACCCTGCGCGGCAGACCTCGCCGCCGCCCCGCTGCTCCCCTCAGCAGGGGATTTCAGTGGATCCGCCTGTTCGGCTCCCCACTCCGACTCTGGGGACTCCTCTCACACGCACATCCCCAACCCCGGGCCTACACCCCAGTAATTCTACGCAAAAATAAATAAAAACAAATCTTTAAAAAGAAATAGAATGGAAGTTGCTACTGGGGAGCAGTTTGTCCCAGAACGAGGTGGGAGGGCGGCCTGGGGATGTTTCTGATAGAAGAGGCTGCTTCATGGCGCTGTTCACGAGATAATACGCTCTTCTGAAGACGCAGGGCCGTGGCGTTGCCTCCGGGAGGGCGGCCTGAGGTGGGCACGTCTCTGAGTGAATGTTTGGTTTCCGCAGATCTGGAAGGTAGAAAAAGGACCAGATGGAAAAGCCATTGTAGAATTTTTGTCCAACCTCGCTCGCCATACGAAAGCTGTCAACGTCGTGCGTTTTTCTCCAAATGGGGAAATGTTAGCGTCAGGGGGAGACGGTGAGTATTGGTTTAAATTCTTCAGAAACCAGGTCTCTGCATGACCCGTGTTAAACGGTGAGGTTTCCGTTGGGTGTGATTTTTTTATCTTAGACGTCCCGTGGCTTTCTCAGTCCGACACTTGGTTGAGCGACATGAGGCCCTGGGAAGCCGAGGGCTTGCTGGACAGCAAGGTGCAGCTGAGAAAACCTGTTGGAAAATGGCCCCTTTCTCACTGCCCCGCCGGCTGGTTGGGAGACCGCAGAGGAAGGCGCCGGCCCTTCTGCTGTCCGCGGCGGCTGTGCAGGCCGAGTTTGTGTGGCCGGGGGAGTGGTCACCGCCGTTCCCGGCCTCTGTCATTCATTAACTGGCTTAGGAATGAGGGGGCCTTCCACGCAGAAAGTGGGGATGAGAGGCAAGAAAGGGCAGTGGATGTCCCTCCAGGTGACTCAGGAACTCTCATAGGGGTTCTGGCAAAGGGGTCACGAGATTGTTGAACAGGACACAGATGACTCCAGTCCATGTTTGCTGCTAGAAACCAAAGCTGCGTGTGGAATCTTGAGCTCATGGGCAGGAGAGGGTAGGAAAGCGGGTGCCTGCCTGTTCTCTCCCTGCTCTCTCCGCCTCATGCCAGAGCCGTGGCAGGCTCGGCCCCTTGGGCTTCGGGACCCCATCCCGAGGAAGTGTTCAGTTGATGGTTGGTCTTGCTGCGCTGGGAGCTTCCTTCCCTGTGTGCGGTCATTTTGCTGCATACAGGCTGACCCTCTCCCCTCCCCGTTCCTCTGGGAAGTACAGTGAATAAAGACTTAGTGGGACTGGAGGAAAAAAAAAAAAGATTAACTGACTTAAGGGGTGTCATCCAAATGGTCCTATAAATTGTGCTTGTTAGAGTAGATTGATTTATATTTTCTGCTTGTGCATAAATGGCAAAACTATATAGAAAAAGTAAATCTTTTTACCATGCTTTCTTATTAGAACAGTCTAGAAGCCAGTACAAGATAGAACAGAATGCTCAGATTTTGTTTGCAAAAGGAGGAAAAGGGATCAGAGTGTCTGAGTGTGTGTGTGCATGTGTGTGCGCGTGTGTGTGTGTGTGTGTGTGTGTGTGTGTGTAGCGGAACCTCACTGGGGGCGACTGGCAGGCTGTCTTCTGGAGGCCACACAAGAGCACTCGCTTTGCAAAGTCCCTTGGCTTTGGAGGCCGGGAGCCTGCTGTGAGGCGGCGTGTGGGGAGCGTTCATGTCGGGGTCGCTCACCTCCACAGAGCTCCCAGACTGGAGTCTGCAGCCAGGATTGCAGTCACTTAGAGGGGAGCACAGCCACCGTCTGCAGGTGTGCGGGGAGCATGCCCTGCTCTCCACCTCATTCCAGAGGTGCCATCAGGCTGAGGTGTCTGATGTGTCCATGATGTTAACAGCTCACACCGCACCCCTGGCTGTGTGCCCAGCGTTGTGTGGTCACTGCTGGAGGCGGATGACCTGTCGGCCCCCACGGCGGCTCTGTGATGTGGGTGTTGTGTGTCCTCATCTGACAGTGGAGGAGACCGAGGCCCTGAGGTAGCGGCTCGCTGCAGGCTGCACTGCAAGGAACCATCCGCCAACCCTTGCATTGGTGACTCTGGTTGTTTTTTTCCCATCCAGCCGTTTTACAGGCCACACCTTGAGATTTGTTAATGGGGCCGCTTGCTTTGCTGACCCGGGCCCTTCTGTTGGAAGAGACTGTGTAGCTTTACTCTGGTGTGTTGCTGATTAGTTTTAGTGCAGAAGGGAAACCTCACTTTCCGGCCCAGAGTCTTAGAGGAAAGCACGGTGGCGTCGTGTCTGCGCAGCATCCACACCGTCCGGTATCGAGGAGGAGTTGGGGTGCAGGGTCTGCAGGGGAGCCTGGCTTATCTGTAACTGCTCTGCCCCACAGACGCTGTCATCCTGCTGTGGAAGGTGAATGATAACAAGGAGCCGGAACAGATTGCTTTTCAGGACGAGGACGAGGCCCAGCTGAACAAGGAGAACTGGACTGTGGTGAAAACCCTGAGGTAATGGGGGGGACCGTGGCAGTGATGGCCTCATCCTGCGCGTGCACCAGGCCCAAAGGCGTTTGACTTTTACATCTAACTTCAGCCTCTTGCTGTGCAAGACAGAAGCGGGTTCAGCTTCAAACGATAGAAGCAAGATGATGATGGGGGTGCTGGTTTCTGTTCATGATCTTCCCCGTGTACAGCGGGCTCGCCTGCACGTCAGGGGGAGGCCCCCGGAGGGCAGATGATGGCTAACGCCTGCCAGGCCCGGTGTGCACACCTGAGCTCCCACCCTCGTGTGTCCCTCCGTGGGCCTTTCCATTTTCCTCCTCAAAACAAGAGTTGCTTTTTCCCTCTTTATTTTTTGGATTCTAGGGGTCACTTAGAAGATGTCTATGACATCTGCTGGGCGACTGACGGCAACGTGATGGCCTCGGCCTCGGTGGATAACACGGCCATCATCTGGGACGTGAGCAAAGGTAGCGGGTGTATCCCTGTAATCACGGGTGGTGGGGGGAGGAGGAAGGAGAATGTTCTAGGCGTCCACGAAGTCTACCATCAGAAGCAGCAAGAAGAGTTTCTCTAGTGAGCTGAGGTGGGCGGCCGGCTCCGCAGGCCAGGGTCCGGCCCCTGCCTGGGTCCAGTGCGGCTTCAGGGCCACAGTCAGAGTGAATGAGGCTTAGCAGTCATGTCATGCTCAAACAGTCGGATCCCTCGGGCATGGGGGTGCAGACTTGAGGGGTCTCTGTCCCCCTTACCCTTTCACTGGCTGAGGTCAAATCCCCTTTCCTCAGGAGCTTCTCCAAACCTTCCCTTAAACCCCCTTCTTAATCCCTGGCTACCTTGACCTCAGCAGACTCCCTGCAGAGTTTCAAGGAGGCCCAGGGGCAGCACACTTAGCTCAAAATGTGGGTGTTGAATTCAACCTGTGCAGGTGACCGATAACTTCAGGGTGATGGGAGTGAAAGCCCCCAGGGGTGTTGAGGAGGGAGGAAGGTGTGAGTGAGTGAGTGAGTGAGTGAGCGAAGCCATCTCTGCAGAGAGGAGGGTTTTGTCTTTTTAAGAATGGCCAGAGTTCATCTCCCCCTCGTCTTTTTATCCAGGTGACCTCTGTGTGCCCCTGGCTTTATCTACTATTTTCCCCAAAGTCCCTTTTTCCTTCCTGTTGGCATTGCTCACGCCCTTCTTGCTCACCTGGTGTCTCACCTCCTTTTGTAATCTCCAAGCTCCTCTACAGAATTCGGTATCTCTAGTACGCATATCACATTCCAGCTCATGTCCCTCTGCTCACACCTTGTGGGCCAGTCCTTTTGCTTCTGCACGAGGGCTCTGTCACACCACCTTTCCTCCTTGTCACCCTTGACCTTCCACTTTGCCCCCGGTGGGTCTCAGCCACTTAGGTTGACCCACACCCCAGGCAGGCTTTTATTTTTTTTTTAAGATTTATTTATGCGTACAAGAGCTGGGGTTCAGGCCAGGGTGTGGGGAGTGAGGATTCACCAGAGACAGAGTAGGGAGCAAACAGGCAGATGTACTGAAATACACTGCTGAGGGGAGCAGTGGGGAGACAGGAGAGGTCTGCTGTGCCATGTGGGCCAGCTGCAGAAGCTCCGTAGTGCTGAGACTTAACCCCTGCGCCATCAGGGAGGCCCTCCCAGGCAGGCTTTTGAATGCCTTTCTCTCCCTGCCCATGGATGCTGTCCCCTGCCCGGCAGGAGCTGCCCTCCTGCTCTGCACCCTGTCCTTCGGGGCCTGCCTGCGATGGCCACCCTCTCCAGTAGCTGTGAGCCCCTGGGAGCGGGCCGTGGTATCACCCCCATTGGCCCCTGAGCCTGACACCAGTCACTGCCTGCTGGGTGAAGGGTGGGGCGGGCGGAGTCATACTGGAATTGAAGTTTCCTCTGTGCTGAGCTGGTTTTGGTTATGCCATTTGTGTTTCGGCAGGACAAAAGATCTCCATTTTTAACGAGCATAAAAGTTACGTGCAAGGAGTGACCTGGGATCCTCTGGGACAGTATGTCGCTACCCTGAGCTGCGACAGGTACGTCAGTATTGGGCAAGTTGTTTTCCTCTCTGTATATTGAAATTTTCCGCAGAGGTATTTTCATCATAAGTGAAGCACTATAAACCACAGTCTAGCTTTGATTTTGTTGTTATTCTTGTTTTCATCTGCAGCTTTCTGATTCCCTGCTGCTCTTTAGGCCACAGTAAGAAGTTGGTCCGTTGGGGCGAGCGCCTCACAGGGAGTTTGCACCTAGTACCTCTTGTTGCAGGGGCGGGTTAATGCCACACAAGTTTTGAATTATATTTGATTCATGGGGACTTTTGGGGAAAAAGTCTTTTACAGATGTGACTTCAGGGGTATGTCATGGTGAGATTGGGCTACTTCATGTTTTTGATCACGGTTTTATTATGCAGTGATATTAATGGCTTCATTTAAGTGGATATAAAAATGAGATGTTTTGTCCTTGAAAGTGGGTCTGTTGTGTTTATGGAGAAGATTGCACTTCATTGTTTACTTTTTTTTAAAGATTTTTTTATTTATGCCTGGGGTGCAGGCCAGAGGTGCATGGGGGGTGAGAGGATTCACCAGAGACAGAGTGGGGAGCAGAACAGGCAGACTGACTGGAATACGCTGCTGAGGGGAGCAGCAGGCGAGTCAGGAGAGGTCTGCTGCACCCTGTGGGTCAGCTCCCAGGGCAGGAATCAAACACATGCTGCAGTAGCTGTGGATAGCTTCGTCGTGCTGAGACTTAACCCCTTGTGCCACCAGGGAGGCCCCCTTAATTGGGTTCTTGAAACAAGGAATTTTTAAAAATCAGAGGTGTCAGGCACCCCACTCCTTAGTCAGCAGAGGCCTCACTAATATTTAGCTACTTGTAGTTACAGCAAATCTAGTTTCTGCTGGCCCTGGAATGAAGGCAAAATGGAAGCTCACGGTTATTTGTCAGAGTCTCCTGTTCCAAAAGTTACTTATCTTCTGACACATGTATTTTATTCAGGTAATCAGGAGCAAGAGAATTGGATTAGCTAGTGGGAATCATGTGAATTACTAACCACCAAATTTTCCTTATTCATGCCAATCCCTGAGGGCAAGACCATCCGGCCCATCTCACGTGACGAGATGAATCATTCAATAAAAATGCTGTGACATGCCCCTCCTTCTTCAGAAACACGCTTGAGGTCACTCTTGGTGCTGTTGTAATTTTCAGTTGAGCAAATGGGATGGCGGCCGAGTCGGCCTTCAGTGTGGTACGAGGTTGATTGTCTGCATGTGGAACGTGATTCATTTGCTGGGAGAGACAAATGCGACATTTCTTCTTTGTTTAGGATCCTGAGGGTGTACAGCACACAGAAGAAACGCGTGGCTTTTAATGTTTCAAAGATGCTGTCTGGAATAGGGGCTGAAGGAGAGGTACATCGCGTCCCCACTCTGCTAGCACCCCGCAGCCGGGACTGGGGTGCCGAGCTCCCCCGCACCCAGCAGCCGACAGGGCTCAAGGGCCCGGCGCCTGCGCTGCGGCTGGGCTTCCTCCTGGGCAGCCGAGGCTCAGTCAGTGTGCGGGCGGGCTGTGCGGTGGGAATGTCGGGGAGGTCCCCTTAATTGGGTTCTTGAAACAAGGAATTTTTAAAAATCAGAGGTGTCAGGCACCCCACTCCTTAGTCAGGATAGGCCTCACGAATATTCAGCTACTTGTAGTTACAGCATATCTAATGTCCGCTGGCCCTGGAATGAAGGCAAAGTAGAAGTTTTGGGAGAGCTGATGGTGAGGATCGTGGCTTCTTACCCTGTGGTACCGTGGAGTCACCGTCTGGGCCTGACCCCCAGAGATGAGTCCATTTGGCTTGAGGTGGGCAGGGCCTCCTGGGATTCTGAGGCACCGCGACAAGGAGGTTCAAGAACTGCTGGCCTCAGAAGGGCCCAGCGCCAGCCCGGCACCGAGGCAGGCGACCCCACGGCAGGCAGGACACGGGCGGGCAGCGGACACTCAGCCAGAGACAGCCCTTCAGGCCAGGAGGGGATGGGAATGCTGACCCCGAGTGGGCTGGCGGGTGGGCCCGGCCCGTCCTGGAGGCGGGTGTCTCCGGTCAGGCGCTGGGCTGAGAGGGAGCACGCTGGTCACTGGGACGGAGGATGTGCAGCCGCAGCCTTGGGCTGCCCGGGAGCTGGGCCCGTGGAATGAGGGGAGCAGTGTCGGGTTGCCAGGAATAAACACTTAGTGTTCGGAAAGTGCCAGTGAATGTGGCAAAAACTCCTCTACCCAGTGTCCAAGAAACGTGGTTTGGAGAGTTAGTGTGTTTGCCGGTTTGGTGATTGCCGCCTCCTCAGCGGCCGTTTGGTCGGAAGCGCCGGATGCCTGTGCACATACAGGCCGAGGGCGCCCTGCCTGCCCCTGTCTCCTGTCACGGCCCCGACAGACCGCCATCCTGCGTGGTGTATGTTTTCATGGGGTTGTTTTTTCTCATAGTTGAGGTTCCACACAAACAGACCACACACAGACACAGCTTTTTCTTTTTTTATTAAAGATTTATTTATTTATGCATACAAAAACTGGGGTACAGGCCAGAGGCGCAGGGGTGAGAGGATCCACCAGAGACAGAGTGGGGAGCAGAACAGGCGGCTCTACTGAAATCCACTGCTGAGGGGAGCAGCGGGGAGCCAGGAGAGGTCTGCTGCGCCCTGTGGGGAGCTCCCTGGCCAGGGATTGAACTCGCCTTGCAGTGGCTGTGGACAGCCTCACAGTGCGGCGTCTTCACCCCTTGTACCACCGGGGAGACCCCACACAGCTTTCTCTTTAACAAAAACGGCTGATCCGGTCACGAGCCGTGACTCCTGCAGGCTTGACGATGGTTTGATTTGTAATGCATTTCAGTTTCACGTATTACAATGTGAGGATAAAAGGCGCGAGGGGAAAGCCCCAGGCGTGGGGAAGCCTTGATGGGAATGTACAGTCTTGGGACATTGGCTGCACTTCGTGTGTCACAGGCAAGAAGCTACCGGATGTTTCATGACGACAGCATGAAGTCTTTCTTCCGCAGACTGAGCTTTACTCCCGACGGGTCCTTGCTCCTCACGCCAGGTGTGTTTCCAGGCTGTCCACCTGAGGCCCTGCTGGTGGCAGCGGTGGCATCTGTGCCCCAACTTTGTGAGGCTTTTCAGCTCAGTGCATCCCATTCAGAGCTGTGGTCCCCAACACACGGGCGTCTCCAGGGGGGCTTCCAAGCAGTGCTGATGCCTGTGTCTCCTCGTCCCTGTGATTTAATTAGGTTGGGACGTGCAGCCAGGTTTCAGAATTTTAATAAGATGATTAGCATACAATTTGCATATGCAGACAAGCTTGGGAGCAGTTAGACTAAGAGTGATAGACAAGTCCTGCAGAGATTTCACTTCTAAAAACTTGAATGAATGCCTTTCCCAAGTTATCATTCTTCGGCGAGTGCTGGGTGCCTTTATCCTCCCCACTCGGACAGGATCTAGATGCAGGGACAGGTCAGGCAGGAGCAGCCCGTGGGAGGGCAGGGTGCCGTCTGGAGAGCCAGCAAAATCAGCAAGGGCAGGCGCAGGAGGAGATGGAGCCCCTCAAGATCAGCCCTGGCCGGGATGGCGCAAGGCCGGGGTGTTCTCAGAGGAGACTGCTGCTCTCCACCCTGCGCCCTCCGCGGATGGGCCAAGGTCAGGTGCACGCAGGTCAGGTTTGCTGCCAGGAGTTCCCCAGGCTGGGCAGGGGAGGCTCCAAGGGGGCATGAGCCAGACACATGTGTCTGTGTGGGCTCAGCCTTAGAGGAACTACATGGAGAACACGTGAGGAGTGAGCAGGAATAAGTGACAGACATATTAAAAGTTACTAAATTCAAGCAAATCCTTTACTAAATGGCAGTTCAAAAATACTTCAGATAAAATCACAGGTGGGTGTCTGCTATTACCATTGTTCTTTGTGGTATCAATAAATGTGGAAACGAGAAAAAATTTACTAAGGTTGCAAAAGAAGCAAAACTTTGCCACAGGGTTGAATTTCTAGGAAATCCAAGAGCTGTAAATAAATGCAATTAGAATAAAAAAAATTGCTAGGTGACTGGATATTGTGAAATACAGAAAAGTCTAGTGTGTTTTTTTATACTGGAGTAAGTAAAGAGGAATATTCCATCCGTAAGAGTATAAAACTCCTGAGACCTGAGATGACATGGGGAAATTTAGTCAAGGGTGAAGGCTTTATGAAGAAGGCCAGGGATCTTACTGAAGGGTATTAAACAAGTTTGGAACACATGCAAAGATATTTCATGTGCTAAGAATTCAGCTGCCACCATGATTTCCGTGAGGGTCCTGGGCGCCTGCTGGCTCCATCAGCAGATGGGAAGAGGCCGCGTCCCAGGCTCTGGCAGGCGGCTGAGATCGGGGTCTGGGAACGGAGAGCGAGGGCCTCTCAGCGAGCTCACCAGCAGGTGTTGGCGGTGTTCGCAGCAAAGGGTTCTCGGCAGTGAGGCCCCCTCCTTGTGTCTTCCTGACTTGGTGGGGAATGGCTGTCGCAGGTGTGGGAGGGCGCGCAGACGGGACACGGTGTGCGTGGTTGTCCTCAGCCACCAAAACATTGTCCGGGGAACACCTGCAGGGGAAATATGCCACAGAGCAGAATCGGATGCTCTCGTTTTTACCGGTGAACAGTTGATAAAACACTGCCTTTCCTTCCTCTCCCCATGTTCCCTGCTTCTCCAGCGGGATGTGTGGAATCTGGTGAAAATGTCACGAATACAACTTATGTTTTCTCCAGGAAGAATCTTAAAAGGTATGCGATTGAGGAAATACTTGGAATGTTTACTCTCCTTCCCCTTTGTTGAGTAACGTTGCCTTTTCCTGAAACGCTGATTCATCTTTCAGGCCGATTGCCCATCTTCCGTGTCCTGGGAAGGCGACGCTGGCCGTCCGCTGCTGTCCCGTCTACTTTGAGTTGAGGCCAGTGGTGGACTCAGGTGACTGGTGTTAGGGGACTAGGTGTCAGCTTTGTGCATCGTCTGGGGTAGGCTCTCTGTCATATACAGGCTGGTTTTGTTTTCTACTGAAGCAGGTGGGATATTCATCATCCACTTTCTTTGTTGTAAAATTAAGTCTGAATTGGATTTTTCTAAAGTATTTTTTTATTGAAGAAGCATTGCATTGTACCATCTAAGTTTCAGGTGTGTCATTATAAATCAGTGTGTTTATATGCACACATTATAAATCAGTGTGTGTTTATATGTGTTAAAAAGATTTTTGGGCCTCCCTGGTGGCGCAGCGGTTGAGCGCTGGGTTGCGAAGTTGCCCGCAGCCTCTGCAGTGCCGGTTCGATCCCCGGCTGCTCCCCGGCCGCCGGAGGAGGGTCCCACATGGCGCGCAGACCTCCCCTGCCGCCCGCTGCTCCCCTCAGCAGTGTACTTTGGTCCCTCTGCCTGCTCTGCTCCCTGCTCTGGCTCTGGTGAATTCTCTCACCCTCCCACGATTCTGACTGTACCCAGTGCTTGTATGTGTAAATCAATCAATCAATAAATCTTTAAAAAAAAAAAAAAAAAAAAAAAAAAGATTTTTATTCTCTGACCCCACACACAGCTTTTTTTTAATGTGTATTTTTTTCATAAACTTTTTTTTTTTTAACTTTTGTCCACCTTTACCCATTTTTCCCACCCTCCTCCATCCCTGCTTCTGGCAATCACCAGTCTGTATCCGTGAACTTGGTTTTACAGCTTTCATGTGTAAGATTATACAGTTCCCTGTCTGACCTACTTCACTCAGCATAATGCTCTCTGTCCTTTTCTCTGTATATTCTTGGCTCCTTTGTGGTGAATTAATTGACGTATATGTCTGGGTTTACTTCTGGGCTCTTTATTTTGTTCCTTTGATCTTTGTATCTTTTTTTTTTTTTTTTGTATCTGTTTTTATGTCACTGCCATACTGTTTTAATTGCTATTGCTTTGTAATATTGTTTGAAAATCAGGTAATGTGATTCCTCTTCCACTCTCTAATCAATGCCCAGTAAAATCAGTGCCTGGTATGAGCTTCAGGCATAGCTCTTTCTTCCCATAGTTCTGCCCAGCCTCACAGGCACGCACTCCAGTGCTCAAGGGAGGCCCCAGAGGCCTACGTTGGCAGCACCTACCTCTGGTCCTCCACCCTGTAGCTGCCTTGCCCTTCCCAAACACCTGGCTCCATCCTCTTATCTTAGGGTGCCTGCTTGGCTCTGCTTGCATGTCTTCTGCCTTTGCTTGGCCTGGAAACTCAGGCAGCTCACTGAGGCAATTATAGGACTCGCACATTTGTTTCCCATTTCTCAGAGACTACTGCCTGCTGGTCACTGTCTTAAAAAAACATTGTTCGCTATCACTTGCCTGGTATTTTAGTTGTTTCAGGTGGGGAGGGTATATCCAGTTGCTGTTTACTCTGTGGCTGGAAATGGAAATAGTTGTTTTTTTTTTTTTTTTTAAAGATTTATTTATTTATACAAGAGCTGGGGTACAGGCCAGAGGTGCAGGAGGTGAGAGGATTCACCAGAGACAGCGTGGGGAACAGAACAGGGAGATTGACCGAAGTACACTCCTGAGGGGAGCAGCGGGCAAGTCAGGAGAGGTCTGCCGCGCCATGTGGGTAGTTCCCTGGCTGGCCGGGGATCGAATTCGTGCAACAGAGGCTGCGGATTGCTTCATAGTGCAGTGCTTAACCCCTTGCACCACCAGGGAGGCCCTTGGAAATAGTTTTTTAACTTGAAATCCCTTATGTGAAAGAATGCAATTAACTCAGAAGAGCAGGAAAGCATCAATGGATAACATGCTTCTTAGTGACTTAGTTTTCCTCCTCAGAACCCACCTCTCAGGTTGCCTTGCCTCATTCACACAGCTTCTCTTTCCTTGAAGCATGGCCCATGCTGGGTCTCTTCATCATGTATATGAAATAACATGAAAAGCGGAATTATTTGTAACGCACTTAAAAGTCGTCTTTAGTAAGAGTCTGTGTCCCCTAGGAGAGGGCTCTTTTTTTTTTTGTGGAACCCTCGCCGGCTCTTTTTTTTGGGGGGGGGGAACGGAACCGGCGCTGCAGAGCCTCGCAGCCCAGCGCTCAACCGCTGCGCCACCAGGGGAGGCTAGGAGAGGGCTCTTGGGGGAGTTTGTTACTTGTTTCTTTGGGAACCTTGCCTTGCTCGGCTGACCTGCCCTCCTTGGTCCCACTCCCCCTGCAGACAGGCCTCAGGAGCCGGGGGTGGAGCTGGCGGACCTGCCCTACCGCATGGTGTTCGCCGTGGCTTCGGAGGACTCGGTGCTCCTGTATGACACGCAGCAGCCCTTCCCCTTCGGCTACGTGTCTAACATCCACTACCACACCCTGAGCGACCTTTCTTGGTGAGCAGCGTGGAGGGGGGCGGCGGACAGGGCTTGCCCCACCCAGGGCTTGTCAGATGGCTGCTGGTCACTGAAGGTGGCTTATGGGCCCCAACTTACCATATTTTTTAAGGAGCCAGCGTTACAAGAAACGCTTTTTCTGGTCTCCCCAGGTGTGTCCTGCTGTGGCAGCAGCGGTGCTGGCGCCACTCAGGTTGGCCTGTGGGGTTCATCTCAGTCCTAGGAACTGAGGGGAGCCCCTGCAAGGACCTGCCAGGCTGTTGGGGGACACCTACTCGTGAGCCCTGCCGCCCAGGCTGGTAGAGGGCCGGGGCGGGCCATCCCGGGCTGTCACTGCGGCCGCCTGTCGCCCCGGTGCTCGGCGCCTCGGCCCCCGGGCCCAGCCTCCGCATGGCTCAGGTTCAGCTCCGGCCTGGCCATGTTTCTGGGCGCTTCATGACATCTTTCTCTGTCACTTAACTTTGGAAAGGAAGGTCACCTCACTTTTATTTAGGTGCGGTTCGACAGCCGTGCGGCTGTGTCGCAGTGACTTGAGGCTGGGCCGGGCACGGAGGGGCGCACGGAGCACACAGCCCTTTGAACGTTGTTTCCCCCAACTCGTGCCTTCAAGCAAAGCTGATTTTGCTTGAATTCCCTCCTCGCACTGGGAGCAAGAGCACCGAGTGCCGACCGTTCTGACTTTCCCCATTTTGGGAACCAGGTCCAGCGACGGGGCCTTCCTGGCCATCTCCTCCACCGACGGCTACTGTTCCTTCGTGACCTTTGCGAAGGACGAGCTCGGAGTGCCTCTGAGAGAAAAGCCAGTCCTGAGCCTGGGAACTCTTGACATCGCCAAGAAAACCAAGAGTCAGACGCACCCGGGGTCCTCGCCGGGACCCAGGTCGGTGGAGGGGACCCCAGCCGGCAAAATGCCGGACCCCAGCAGTCCCAGTACCACCCCGCCTCAGGCCAAACAGTCTCCAGTCCCCCCAGTGCCCAAGGACACCCCCGCGGCCACCCCTGCTGCCAGGAGCTCCTTGCCGGGGCCTTTGGAGGAGAAGAAGACCCTGCAGCCCAGCAGCCAAAACGCGAAGGCCCCCCCGGCCCGGAGGGTCACGCTGAACACGCTGCAGGCCTGGAGCAAGACCACGCCCCGGTAAGGACCTGCCAGGGCGTCGGGAATTGCTGTTGAATTGAGAACAGTACCTGGTGGGTCCCAACCCCCATGTGGAGGTGCCTCCTCCAGGCGCCTCCTCACACTCTGTGCAGGCAGCTTCCTTGGCTGTGGGTTCCGTGCACCCTGGCCCCTGGGTGCCTCCTGGCCCACCCTGAGGCCCGGCGCCCCACGCATGCCCTGCCCTGTGTGATCGCACCCTCTCCCTCCTCTGGGGTCCAGGACGTGACGCCCGGCTCCCCGGAAGACCCTCATTCGCTCCCCCTCTCTGTCGCCCACCCATGTTCACAGAAGGTGCTTTGTTTAGGCTTCTGTTCCCGTCAGCGTACAGCCCTGAAGGCCAAGGGGTGCCTAGTCCTGACCCCCGGCAGTGACAGGCCCTTCCACAGCAGCGAGTCAGGGAGCCGGGTCCTAAGGGTACAGTGCCGGCTGCCACCGTGCCGCTCCCAGGCCACAAGGACCCTTCCTCACAGCTGTGAGGGGTCACCCCCTCCGCGTGCTGCCTCCTGCCCTCTGAGAGACCACCTGGAGGCCTGGGCGCGGGCCAGGGCAGCTGGGTGACATGAACAGGGGCACTGGCGCCCCGCCCGCCCCCCGTGTCCCCACCATCATGGGGCCCGCCAGCCGGTCACCTGCGCGGGGTGTGGCGGGGCTCGGCGCCCTTCAGTCTCTGCCTTCCTGCTGGGGCCTCGCCTTGTGGGCTCTCGTTTGTTTTGCTTTTAGGTAGGAGAAAAGAGGGGGGCGATGTCCTTGGGCAGATTTTTGATATGATCCGTTTTCTTGCCTGTTGATTCTTCTGAGTACTGACCAAGCTCCTTGAGTGATATTGTTTTTGGTTTAGATAATAAATTTAAATCTGAATTTGAAGATGAAGACTGGGCTGTAAGGAAGGGTGTGTTGGAGGAAAACCAGTCAGGCAGCCTTGACCCGCGGTGTCCAGCAGGGGGCTCCGGCCCTCGAGGCTGCCACGCAGCTGCGGCCGCGTCTCCCTGACTGTTCAGCCTGACCTGGGCTGGGAGGGGTGGGCACCGCGTGCGTGATGCCACTCAGCCACCCGTTAAGTGGTCACGTCAGCGTTGCAGATAATGCTTGATCTGATCAGCTGAAAATTTCAAGTGTTTCTTTCAGCAAGTTTGGCATCTGACACGTCCCGATGCTGATGAACCCCATCCCCTTTACTTCTTTTTCTCATCAAGGAGAATAAACTTAGTGCCCTTAAAGACAGACACGTCCCCGAATTCTGTACCGGCCAGCGTCACCCCCGCCCCTGCCACAGAGGACGTGCAGTCAGGTAAGTGGCTGTTTCTGGCTTCCTGTAGTCCGAGGTAGAGCATCTCCCCTCTTGTCCTGAGAAAGCTGGGGTCATGCATCTCACTGGACCCATCATTTAAATTCGTTGCTTATTTCTTTTCATCAGGGAGACCCCTTTGTGCAGCCCCTCCCTGTGGGGCAGCTGGAGGGCCGGGAGGCAGGGTCAGGAGGTGCTGTGGACCAGGCTCTCCCCCCCAGCACTCACTGGTGGCCTCGCGGGCGGGGAGATCCTTTGTTGTGGAGGCCCCCCTGTGGTTGTGGGGTGTTGAATAACCTGGATGCCGGTGCTCCGTCCACTCTGGGACACCCTATTACTGGGCATTACCCCCTGCCCCTTGGGAGGCAGAATCGCCCCTGGTTGAGAATATGGGTACAGATCCTTCTTGTACATCAGCGCTGGATAGGAGGCCTGCCAGGCCCATCGCTCCCTGTCTGGGCACCAGTTTATCCTGTAAGCATCACTCTGAAGTCCCCCTCACTGCTTCAGACCCGCAGGGCGCGCCTCCAGAGCTCAAGCGGCCCAGGCTCGGTGAGCCTGTCATCGGCAGCGTCGTCGGCAGCTCAGGTGTGGATGCCTGACAAGGCGCCGGATGCGTCCCCTGACCCCAGCCTGAGACCAGCGGCTTCAGATGGGGCCTCAAGGACACCCAGGATACACATGGACTGGCTTTTTTCCAGAAAGGTGTTTGCTCTTGTGTTCACCATGCTTTGTCACCTTGGAGACGTGAACATTTTAACAGACCAAACCTTGCCATGCGTTCCTGACACTGGAGCAGTTCAGTGTTATCTGGTGTGGAAATCAGTAAGTCCTCCCTTGAAGCACTGATCAGGAAGGACAGATGCCTCAAGGGTGGACTCTTCCTAAAGCTGGAAGTTGAAAGAAGAGAAAGTAACTTGAGAAGGTTTATTCTGTTGAGCTTTAGAATGTTTCACTATTCGCTTTAGCTTCTAAATAGTTAATTTCAGAAGTTTATGTTCATTTCCTGATTTTAATAATGCTCATTCTAGAAGGTCCATGAGCTGGAGTACAGGCCAAGAAACAGGTTGAGGTGGGAATCCCCCATTATCTCACCACCAGAAGGGACCCTCATTAGTATTCTGGCATATTTCCTTCTTAACATTAGATTGTTCTGTTTCTTTCTTTCTTTTTTTTTTTTTTTAAGAGAGAGTTGAGATTTTGTTTTAGGTACAATTTGGTATCCAAATACTCTGAGTTTTTAGACTGATTTTTCAAAGGAAAAATAATCACTTTACTCAGCAGTTTGTCTGCCTCTGCTTCCTCCCGTCCCGGGTGAGGACTTGCTTTGTGTTGGGAGGAACCGAGGGGCCTGGGCTGAGCTGTGGCTGCAGGTGAGGAGTCACACGTGTGGCCTCGGCTCAGAAGCCCTCGGGAAGCAGAGGCCTGACCAGAGAGCCCTCGGGAGGCAGAAGAGCCTGACCAGAGAGCCCTCGGGAGGCAGAAGCCCTCGGGAGGCAGAGGCCGGAGCCGGCGTCCTGGTGGGCACAACTGGCCGGGCTGCCTCACGCTGGGAAGGGGGTCCATCACAGAGGAATTACGTAAAGCTGGCACCTGTCGCTTTGGCTCCACCCAGGCTGTCTGCCCACTCTGAAAGGGACTGAAGGGGCATTCAGGACCCACCGTCGAGGCTGCCAGGCCCTCACTCCAACTCAGGCCCATGTAATGGAGCGGTGGGAAGGAAGCCCCGGTTTGTGGCTCACTGCCCAGGCCCCTCCGCCAGGAAAGGAGGCCCCCTGGACGGGAGAGCGGCAGGCGAGGGACAGTTCATGGAGCGTGCATGGAGCAGGTCTTGGTGGGTCTCGTCAAGGTGAAGGTATTTCAGAATGTCACACAGGATCTGGGTCTCACCCCGGGGCCCCCAGAGAGCTCACGAAGGTACTGATGCCCCAGTCCCTCTCCGAGGGCTGCAGCCTGCACTGTACACCAGGGCTTTTTAAGGCTCCCTGTGGGGAGGACCGTGGTGGGGCAGCCAGCCTGCTCCCCGACATGCCCAACACTGAGCAGCAGTAGGGGGACCTTCAGCCTGTGTCGTGAACGCGGCCCCTGCCCTGTCGTCAGCTGTCACCCTTGAGTCTTAACGACAGAATCGGCCATAAAAGCCCAGGTGGACTTACCTCAGTGTGGCGGTCTCATTCACCTGCCTCCACCCAGGGGTTTACTGGAGAAGCTTCTACAAAGCCTGGCCTGCGAGGTAGTACTTCCTCCCAGGGGTTGGGGAGTGCGAGCACCTTCTCCCCATTCTGGGTCTGTGGCCGGATGGGGTGTCTAGTCAGTGGCTGCCCATTATCTCTGTGGTGAGGTGTGGATCCTTGCTGCAAGGGAGCCAGAAAGGAGGTCACACAGGAAAAAGCCTCGTGCTAAGCGGGCCCTAAGAGACCTTGTGTGGGGATGGGTGACCCCATGCGGCTGCACGTCCCAGCACCGGTGCCCGGAGGACACGGCGCCTGTGAGGGACGGAGCTGCCAGCCCTGGTCTTGGTCCATCTGGGGCTGTTCATGAGTCCTGCGAAGTCGTAGCAGCTCCACGGGCAGGGTGGTGGCTGGGGAGGCCTTTGCTCTGGTTTCCCCGCTGAGCAGAAGTCCTGTCTTTACTGTCCACAAGGTCAGCGTGGAGAAAAGTGCCCCTGTGAGCCCGACGGCCTTCAGAAGTGCAGTTTTCCTCGAGTTTTGTTTGTGAGACAATACGTGAAGCCCCTTTGAAATCATTTATGGTAACAAATGATTCGTAAATCCTTGTTACACATTCATGATGAGTAACGGGCTTGGTTAGGGCAACCGTGTGGCTTGGACACCCAAAGTGATTGGAAGCCTCGTAACTGTTCCCTGGGGAAGGCATCCAAGTGTCAGCAACAGTGTCTCCGGCACCCCAGGTCCCAGGAGCAGTGTGTGGCCAGGAGGGCCTCCTGGGGCTGGGGCCCAGGCCGCCTCGCCCCACAGCTGGCTCTCCCCATCCCGCGCTGGCGGCACCAGCCTCCTATGGGCGTCACAGTCAAAACTCAGCAAAACTGCCTCAAATCTAGGCTTTGACCAGGCCCAGGCCTCAGCTTCTAGAGGCGAGGAAGACCCCCAGCCAGGCACCTGCAAAAAAAAAAAACCCAAATTCAAGAGCTTCAACACACTGTCAGCGCCGCCACCTGCCGGCGGGAGAGCTGGGAAATCTGGAAGGTGCAGCGAAGGGCCGGTAAGATGGAGCTTGAGGCCCCGAGGAGGAGCTGAGTCTAAGAAACCTTTGCCGCCCTCTCCAGTGCCGCTCTGCTTCTACCCCAAGGTTAGAGGAATGAGAGAAGCCGCTGTGTTCTGGAAGCCACCCCAAAGCGAGCCCCACCCACGGGCTCCCGCCCGGCTGTGCCCTGGTTGGCAAAGGGCTGGGTCTCTGCTTCCTCCGGGAGCCGGCGCTGGGGTCGCCACTGGGGGGCGGTGTTGCCAGCCCTTAGCGCCGCTGTGAAATTTGCCAGCTATTGAGTATATTTTCATAAAAGGATTTTTAGCCCGTCCATGGAAGTGATATATGACCTATTACATTTTTCATCTTCATTACATCAGAAATAATTAAATGGTATTTTATTTTTCCAGCAAGTTCCAGAGGCAGAATCAGCAGTCCCGAGAACCCACCTGCGAGGCGCTCATTGAAGGTGTTTGTATTAAAGGTGGGCCAAGGGATGGTGAATTTGAAGAAACCAACCTGGAAAAGCTTTCTTTTTTAACACAGAGCAAAGAAAAAGTCATGATCTTCTACGTCAGCAACACATGTACCCGCGTGCTTCACGACTTGACAGATTCCCTGTGGTCGTTCTAAGTGGAAAACAAGACTGGAAATCATCTCAGTGCTGACAGGGGATCAGCTGAGTCAGCCAAGGTGAAGGGTGGGGGACTACACCCTGCTGACCTGGGTGCCTTGTGGGGCGAGGTCAGGGCGAAGCTGAGGAGAAGAGCAGATGAAAACGTGCACATGTGTGCACATACCCCTACCCACATACCCCTACCCACACCCCTACAGACACACACACCCCTACACACACACACCCTCCCCTACACATACCCCTACACACACACACCAGGCACAACTTAGAAACATTTAAACAAGGGCAAGATTCCATCCCCCACGCTGGTGTGAAACATCATCCTGGCACCTCCACGGACTAGTGCTATGGCAACTTACCCACGGGAAGGGTGACCTAAAGCCACAGACCCCTGCACTCCCACAGCTCTGGAGGCCAGACTGCCATCAGGAGCTGGCTCCCCCCGGGCCCAAGGGCTGAGCCTCCCTGCTGCTCCACACCTGCAGCTGCAGGCGCCCTTGGCTCGGGGCCACACTCCTCCAGTCTCTGCCTCCCTTTTCATGGGGCCTCACTGGCTTAGGAACACCGTGCTTGAGGATGGGTGGGCTCCACCGCCCTGGGGTCCTCCCTCGCCAGGTCTGTGAAACAGAGAAAGCACCGCCTGTGAGGGCAGAGGGCTGCGTGCTAGCCATGAGCTGCAATTTTAAGACCTGAGCAAGTTTCTTCTTTTTAAAAGATTTATTTATTTATGCATACAAGAGCTGGGGTGCAGGCCAGAGGTGCGAGGCCAGAGTGGGGTGAGAGGACTCACCAGAGACAGAGCGGGGAACAGAACAGGCAGACTGAGGAAATACACTGCTGAGGGGAGCAGCAGGCAAGGCAGAAGATGTGTCCTGTGCCATGTGGGTATCTCCCTGGCCAGCTGGGAATCGAACTCATGCTGCAGAGGCTACTTCATAGTGCTGATGCTTAACCCCTTGCACCACCAGGGAGGCCCCTGAGCAAGTTTCTTAAGCTCTCTGTGCCTCAGTGCCCTCGCCTGCCCAGGCCTGCAGTGTGGCTGCCGTGAACCTGTGCAGTCCCTTGAAGCCACACGCCAGCAGACTCACATCCATGCTTCCCAAGGTCAAGGACATCCGGGCGAGGCCTGCCCGCTCACCTCCTGTGAGGAAGCCTGCCCTGGGCCTGGGGGGGCTCTTCCCACCTGCGGGGTCACGCCAGCCCTGGCCTGTCCTCAGCCCCACGGAGTTGCCCACACCTTTTCAGCATCCAGATGATACCACCTCCAGCCTGGGGCTTTTGCCGGCTAAACTCACCCCAGAGGACGGGGCTTCCCTCCTGTGTGTTGCCAGGCCCCGCACGGCCCCGGCAGAGACGCCCTCCGCAGGGGAGGAAGCGCAGCTCCCCGGCTTGGCCTGGCCGGGTGACAAAACCAGGTTTGTCTGGTCTGGCTCCGCCGTGACTCACGGGCTATTTTTGCTCCCAAGACCAGAGCTTTGGCTTAGTTCGGGCTCCTGTGTCCTGGCTGCCGAGGCAGATGGAAGGAACACGATCCCCGAGCGGAGGGCTCTGCAAAAGGAGCGGCTGGGCCGGGACAGAGGCCGAGGGCAGGCTCCGCTCGGCGGGTGGCCTCCTGCTCCGGGGACTGTGTGGGCTTTACCTGCCGGAGCTGCCTGTCCTCTGCCCAGGCTCGTGGGGAATCGGGTGGCGGAGTTTCTTTCCTGGTGCAGCTCGGGGCTGCTGTGTTGGGCTTGTCTAAGTGAGGACATTGAAAGAACCTGAGTCAAGGCTCCCCGAAGGTGCCAGGTACCTCAAGATAGTCGGTCTCCTCGGGCGCCGGGGTCTGGCAGCAGGCTCTGGCAGAAGGCTCTGGAAGCTAAGGAGAAGCCCTGCCGCTTCCCTTGATCCTTTTGTCACCCCCCTAATGGCAGAGGAAGCTGTTGCCACTCCTGGAGCCCCCTTCTCATCGTGTGGAGTCCCCCTCCCTCTCTTCTGTGCCCCTTTACCCCATTCCTTAGTTTAGTATCTCAACCCTCTTCCTCCACCCCCGCCCCCCCCCCACACTCAGCCAGTGGCGGGGCCCGGAGCTCCCTGCAGCTCCCCTGTGTGCACCAAGCTAGACACACTCTTCCCCTGTGCCCCTGTGCCAGCTCCTCTCATGCTGTTTTGATGACTCAACCAACCCAAGAGGAGCCCAGAGGGTTGGGGAATTTTCCTCTGTGCCTGACACCCCCAAACCAGCCTGTGAGTCAGGACAGTCTCCCCCTGCTCTCTGAAACTGGCAGGGAGACTCTGCTCCTGTGAGTAAACCCGCCTGACAACACTCTCCCCACCCCCGAAATGACCAAGCAGCTGGATAAAGATTGTCACAGTGGTCCCCAGCCCATGCGTCTCTGCAGGGCACCCCTCAGAAATCAGAGACATGTGTGAACCCCAGCCTTTGCCCTCCTTGGCACAGAGGTTGCACAGGCATCTCTCCAGGTTGAGACAACTTAGGAAATGGAAAACTCTGCACCTACAGAAGAAAACCAGGACCCCCTGTCAAGAATAGTTACACTTTCCATCAGTCCTCGCTGCTCTGGTTTTCTTCTGCGCCGACGCGGCTCTGTAATGAGCACAGACGCTGAGCTCGAACTTGGGACGGCAGG